CCCCCCCCCCCCCCCCCCTCCTCCTCTTCTTCCCTATTGTTGGATGTGATATTTAAACTTCAGCTATCTCTGTGACACTCCTGCTTCTTCTCATTGTCATCTCTGTTCATCATTATACCCCCGTTTTGCACCCAAGATACCCTGTTCAAGTCCAATCCTACGTCACCTGAGATTTCGCTTTCCTCTGCTTACCTAGGCTACACACAAACAAAATCACAATGGATACTATCAACAACCTCACTGCTACTGCCTCAAAGGCTATCTGGGGCGAGAACGAGACAGGCAACAGAGAGCCCGTCTCTGGAGTTAAGGGTGACACTGCCCATGGCGAGCCATATGATGCCGGCAATCTTGGTGCGAAATGGGACCCTATCTTAGCATGTGCGGCTTGTGTTACTGACCATGGTTACAGAAACCCCCCAGCAAGAAAGAGCTGCAGAAAGTTACAGCTATGGAAAACATGGCGAGGAGCGCACATCCGGACTCGAGCGAGAAGATCCTACCCCAAAGTCTGTCGAGAACTCAACAACTGCTTCGTCTGCAGTTCCGGCTCCCGCTCCCGTTGCAGCCCCCAACCACTCAAAGGATACCACTGCCGACCAGAACGATACGCGCCCCCCGGAACAAGCCGACAAGGGTAACAAGGACCTCCACGACGTAGACGACACCTCTAAAGGTACCGACGCCAAGATTGGCGAGGGACCAGGGCCTCGTCCTATCGACAAACTCGCCAAGGAGCATGGCGGTGATGCAGGAAACGCTCCGGTGGAAGGACAATCCAGTAAGCCAAATGAGGTCGGCTCTGGCGCTGGCGAGTCGTCCAACTCCGAGAACCAGCCCCATGACCCTAAGGAGGATGAGTACATCACTGCCTCCGGATTTGCTGCTGATGGCGGCGATTTTGACGCCTCTAAGCCCGGTGCCGGACGCGAGGCCGACCGTAAGTTAAATATCTCTACTGTTCTTTCCTATTGACCACGGCTAATGATCTCCAGGGCTTATGGAGCAAAAGGGTGTTCATCTTGGCGAAGGTAGCAGCTCAGAGCCCACCTCTCACACTGAGTCCCACTCCAGCGACAAGCACCATGGCAGCTCCCACGAGTCCAAGAAGGACAAGCCCAGCCTTGGCGAGCGCATCAAGGCCAAACTTCACAAGCACTAAGTGGCAGTACGACTCCAGGGCGTTGTATATGTAGTATCTAATGAGTGGAAATAATATCGCCCAAAGCTTACAGCATGGAATCTATGTTTTGAGTCAATTTGATTGCACTGGCTCTTCTATCAATCCTGGACAAAGTCCTGTGTGCAGATGGTTCGCTTCAACGATTTGAAACAGAGGCAGCGCATCGATGTACAAGACTGACGAGAGATTTCTGCATGTTGTTCTTTTATCTGTTCCTTTAGTCAATGGCCTTCAAGAGAAATTCACCTCCATCGTTGCAAGGATACTGGCCTCTATACATCAATGTGATAGATGATGGTAAGAAATGCTGTTGCAGGCTCAAGACGTCGTCGTGCTAACCACTAGCACCAACTTGCCACACAGAGAATCAGGTCCATAACAGATCATCTTGCAATAGATCGGATTCTAACCATTCGCTTCTCTTGGATGCTTCTAGGCGTAATATGCCGCCCGCTCGAGTCTTCCAGGTATATTCAGTCATCGTGCGACCAGCGTACACTTGCAAATTCCACCGTTCATGTCCATCAAAATTGTGAGCCCGTCTCCCATGCAATGTTCCCATATGATTTCTGGTGCGCCAAACAAATCCGCCAAAAACGATACATATACTCAGGTACTGCAGTTGCTTGTAGCAAGCCCGGTTTGGAACCCTCTTTTCAAAATGCCCCGTCAACATCAATATACGTTCCAATAGCCGCCAGTATTACCGACGCCGCTGTCAAGCATCTCCGCACTTTCAAGACCCCCTGTTACCAAATCCCACCACACCAACTCCTCCGGGCCGTCTCCCGATTCTGTGCTCTGGTGTAGTGCCGCTTCCTGTTCCATTCTGATAGCTGGCGGCGTAACATACGCCGCAAGTCATGATTATTCGGGACCACCATAATCTGTCAGGATGGCAGACGGCTTTGCAATACGACCCTTCCCGGTTCGTCCTCAATTCGCTTTCCAAATCTAGATGGTTGAGATTCGCAGTCGCAGAGATACTTCAAACATTTGCAAGGGCTCATTGCTTATAGAAACCCAGACTCGGCCAAAACCCTGTAATTAAGAAACGCCAAGTAAGCATATGTCTTTCTCTCGCTTTAACCCGAGAACAAAATGCGAGCCGCTAATGCGAACTGACAACTCCAATGCGCCGACTATCATAAACCAGCGACTCAAAAGAAGGAGGGCACCGCTCCATACGATGCGGGCGTGTTCCGCAATGCAACATACCTCACAATCTTTTCATCCTCTCGCTCACGAGGCTCAACCTGCAAGCTCTTGTCATACATCTCGTGCACATCACCGGCGGCCTGCATGTTGTTCAAGATGTAGTCTTGCAACTCCGGCACGGGTTGAAGTGAATATCCCACGTTTTGGTACTGCTGAATGTCTCGAATGACTTCAGCAGTTTTAGCACGTTTAGCGAAGTTAATGAGGTTAGTCTTCTTGATAATAGAGGGAATACCATCTTCGATGAATGTCAAATCGGTCAAGTAGACACCTTGAATAGTTGTGAGTAAGACCATTTATGGGTGAGTTCGGGGAGAGGTTTCGTACCGAAAAAGGGAATACAAGGTGGGTTAGCGGCATGAAGAGCTTCTCGGTACTCGCCGAAATTCTTGGTGCTCGCCATCACCCTGCGCATCGATTCTAACGTAGCATGTGTACGTTGTGGCACCTGATCCCATGTCCGCTTGAGTCGAGCGATGGGTGCAGTACCCAATGCAGAGATAATCGATGTCAGCGTTGAAAAGTTGTTCAAAACACGACAGCGCTATTCTAGAGTCAGTAACTTTGTTGGCAATAAATAAAAAAGACTGTGCACGTGGTCAACTCACGTCGGCAACAGAAACGAAGTGCTTGATAACGACCACTCGCTTCTTGACTTCCATCTGGGCCAGGATCATCTCGGCGACCCAGTTGGTCATTTGGTTCGAGTGTAGGATGAGTGCCTTGACGTTAGGCGCCAAGTCAGGTTCGCCCTCAGGGACCTTCTTCTGCCATGTCTTGTTCAGACACTCTGTCGCCTTCACCTTGCCATACAATCGGGATTCGACGATAGTGAGCTGACGGGCAAATTCGATTACATCAATATCCAAGAACTTCAGCTTCTTCATGTTCTTAGGCATGATCGGCGTCGGCGTGTTCTGGTTCACCGTTTGGATCATCCTGCGAGCACCGGCCTCCTTACCACTCAGTCTTTGATCAAGGACTGCCATCAAAGGTGCCGAACCGGGTGTTTCTGTCGATTTGACTGTATCTTTCGCGAAGCTGTAGACGTCACGGACAAGCTGTTTAGACTCGTCATTATAATCCTCCATCCAAAAGTTATCAAACCAGTTCTTCAGGATGTTAACAACACGGAACCGAATAAGCTTTTGTTTTCGATCCCTCCAGATCTCGAAGTCTACCTGGCTGAGGCCCTCTGGCGGTTGGATGTTGAATCGTTTGATAAGCATTTCGAAAAGTTCTCGAGCTGTTGTGAAAGATCGATATGTAAGGAGGAATGTGTTATTGAAATTTGAATCAAGCTTGTCGTGACGAGTGAGCTGCTCGACGAGGGCTAGCAGGGATCCGCCCTTGACGGTAGGGGGCGATGTCTTGCTGTCCCATGACACCTCATGTTCATAATCTAGGAGCAGAAATTCGGGTGTGTCTTCTGTTACTGGGACCTGTGGGGACGGGTCTTCGCCAAAGATCTTTTTCACCTTGGAGTAGTCACCTCTACGCATGTTGCCAGGTGCAGGCTCGCCCTCGGTAAACGATTGTGATGTGATGAGAGGCGGCCGCACGGGAGCAGTTCTCGATTCGGTGCGCTGGTGTGGGCGGTCGTAGGGCATTGTCTCACCTCTTTGTAGAGTGCTCCGGACAAAGGAGTTCTCGCGAGGCCGTGGTTCCGTCTGGTGTTGTTGCATGTTGATCTGGACTTGCTCAGATAGCAGTTGCAGGGAGAAACCAATGTGGGAAGAGTTGGTTTCGAGCGCTCGGGCGCACTGTCGGACATATTCCAAACGGTTCTCCAATGCCTCACCACGAATTTCGGACCATTCGTCGGCCAGAGGGCCAGCAACGGCTTGACAACCCAGGATGAGGTCAGATATATTATCGTAAAGGCTCTGCTTGTTGGTACCGAGGTCAGATAATTGAGGTGTCTGGAAGCTGTTGCCCAAAGAAGACAGATCAATAGACTCAATCATGGCTATCCATTGCCTGAATGTATCAAGAACCCTTCCGCCAGCAAAACAGACATTGTTACCGATGACCTCGTGCCTGTAAGGTGTGACGACCTTCTCTAGCACAACAAGGCTTTTGTCTAGTTCCCGAATGCTAGATACGAGGATGCGCTTCTGTTCGTCCAGTCGCTCGAGCATTTTGTTGTCAAGAATTGCGGTGGGTTCCACGACACCCTCTTCGTCTTCAAGGAAATTGGCCGTGATTTCATCTCGGGGACCCAGCCCATTGTTTTGCCAACTACCACCAGTAGTGCTGCCAATAACGAAGCCTGGGAAGAGTCGAGGGATCTCTTCGCCACGCTGCTGCCGAGCCACTTCCACGTAGCTGTATACACCCATGAGAACGCCATCAGCCTCTTGCAGACACTTCTGGATGGACTCGGCATTGGGCCAATCCGCAGCTGCTATGTGAGAAGAAATGACAAGCTTGGAGAATTTGGACATCATGTCGCGGAAGTGAGGATACAGAGCTTTGTTGGTCGAAATGATAGAGGGTTGACCCGAATGGTTGTCAGTAGTCCCTGAGCCAGCGGCAAGCAGCAATCGTAAGTGATCAGATATATCTTCAGCTTTTGCTACATATTCTGAGCGGTTGTTATTCATAATAGCTTCGCGGTAGCGGTCGATAGCGCGCCGCATATTAGAGACGAGTAAAGTCCAACTGAGAGAAGGCGTGGAGCCATCATCGAAAAATGATCGAGGAACAGTAGCCGTAGTGGGGAGGTTATAAGTAGTGCTGGTAAACGAGGTCGCCGATGCTATGTTAGGGACTTGACCTGCAGCAAGATGGCCATTCGATGCGACGCCATTTCGAATGCGGCCGACAGGCGATGTGCCGTTAATCGAATCCATAGATGTTGATGGCGACAAGGCACCAAACGAGGCACGGTGGCGATGCTGGGAGATGTCAGCAAGCTAAATTATACAGCGGCAGCGTCCACGATCTTTTCAAATACCTTTGAACGACGTGAGGCTAGTCTCGACGAGTCACCTTCAGCCTCGGACGCGGATGTCAAATATTCATCGTCCTCGTCTTGGGTCAGACCACGAGCCATCATCTCAGGAGGCGGCCTGGTCTTGTCGGGGATATTAACGTTCATTCGGTCTCGTGGGCCAGTCTCGTTGGCGGACACAGGAGATTCTAAAGGCAGTTCCATGCTACGGTCTCCTGTCATCATATTGTAGTAGAACAAGCGCCCATCGGGGGTCGCTTGGGGAATCCAAAAATCGGCCCTTGAGCTATCTCCACCATCTGTCCCCTCGAGTGGGAGTGCGATAGGGCCATCTTGTTCAGAGTCATCGTCTTGATCATACTGGTCATCGTAAATCTCAGGATCCTCGACCTCATCTTCGGCAGCGTCGAAGACTCCGTTATGGGCACTGTCGGGAATATCGTCGGGACTCGTAATAATTTGGCAGTAGTTACTTGGGAACCAGCCTCGAACACCGTTTATGACACCATCCCACCAGCCGCTCTCGAGCTGTGTTATGACTTGAATAACATCTCCTTCGTGAAAGCTGAGACTGGTGCGATCGTCGGCCTCGTAGTCGTAAAGGGCGCGAACGTACATGGCCCCCATAGGGGCGGTACCGACGATGCCGTTCATGAAGCCCCAGGCGGGATCAGCCCGAGTAGTTGAAGATTGTTGTTCGGAAGCTTGTACGGAGGTAGACGTGATGCGCACGGAAGCGGACTTTGAGTCGCCGGAGGGGTCGTGGATAGTGCGCGAAGAGTGGATACTTGGCGGCACTGCGGCGGTCTGTATCTTGAGCATATTGCGGCTGCAAAGCTCACCTCAGGGCATGGTAAAAAATGGCGGACCCTATTGGTGATCAAAAGGAAGCCGATCTTGAAAAGTTCAGTTCGTGAGACAGAAGAGACGGCGCAGTAACGGCGACAGCATGCCACGAGAATTGCAAGGAGTCGCAGGAGGTTGCAGACCTTGCTATGAAAGGCAGAACACGGAGTAGAGTAGAATAGAGGGCCAAGAATCCAGGGGGGACTGCTTAGAGGGGTGACCGCGCTGGGACCAGGCTTGATGCGAGTGGACGGCGAGGGGCTGACAGGAGTACTGTACAGAAGAAGGTCAGGATCAGGAGAACGACGAGAAACGGTTCAAATGGAACGACATAAATTCAATACAATATGCAGATAAATCAAAGCGAAACAGCCTCCGGTCCAAGGAAAAGGGGTTGCGTTTGTGAACATATGGTATAGAAAGAAGGTAAAGCATCAAACCAAAAAGAAAGGCCACAGCAACTGACTTAATTAGTACCGTTTGAAAGTGGCAGGCGACCTTTCTACAAACAGCCCAGGTGTAAATAGCTCTTATTGAGTCTGGGACAGCTTCAGGCAGGTTTGGTTTGGTCGCTCAAAATAATGAACGTTGGGATACTACCTAGGTACTAGCTATTGCTCTTCTGATAGACTGATCCTGCACCGTCCTTGTTGCCTTCATCGGTAGCACTTGCCGATGCTCAGTTTGTCCACTGGTTGACTGATGGACTAATTGACTGATCAATGTCAGTGTCAATGTCAATATCAACGTGGAAACAATTCGGACAGGCTACCTAGGTAGGTAGTAAGGTACTAATTCAGGTAGCAATAAGTACTAGATAGAGTCTGAGGAGGATCCGTTTGCGCTTCTCTCGCGCACTTTTAATTAACAGACATCCACCCGTCCAGAGGTAGGTAAGTAGGTACCTAGGCACGTAGGTTAAGTGACCTTATTAGATAGGTGCTAGGTACAGAGTAGGTAGGTATTGTACGACTTGGCACTCTAGGAGGTAGGTAATGTTCCGATATTAATTAGCATTAATTAATATTTCTATTTGATATTTGATCCTGACAGATACTCGCGACACTAGATCCGTTGGTGTTGGATTTCTCCACTAAGAAAAAATCACGTCGCAATGAAACCGTCCATGTCCCATTCGCCAGCCCTTTTAGGTAACTGGCTGGGTTTCTGATTCTTCTACAGTACATACCTAAGGTACGATACACTTCCTGGGTCTGAATCGCAGCCTGCTTCATCCCCAAGACCTCGCACGTTCTTTGGCAGGCCCTGGCTGGGATGCGACGTACTAAATGGATAAATAGGTAGGGAGGTAGGCAGGCAGAGAGGTACTCTGTACCATATGTAAGGTACCTAGGTAGGTTAGTAGGTAAGTATTATATGCAAAGCCGCAACAAGTCAATCCCTCGGCGCTGAGAGTCTCATCCGTACCATTTAGCAATCAAGCAAGACGGAGGGCGTGTGATAGGCCCAGTCAACAGCGAGTTTGCATCTCGTCCAGTGAATCGAAATGACTATAAAGCAACCTAACCGCACGAGCAATAATAGACGTCCAACACACAGCTTCACCACGAGCGATGAGCGCACAAATAAGCGGAAGCACCTCACAAATTGCATGACAAGCAATGTCGTGATAGGACATTTGTTCAGAAGAAAGGTACGGAGTAGAACGCGCCGACAAGACTTTATAATATAACATTGAACACCTACATAGTAGACACTATCCGTAGTAATGGTCTCGCTTCTGCTAAGTTTCGGATAAGACGAGAGTACAGTATATGTACGGTACAGCCAGCCCCTTGTTGTTTATTAGTGTTGTCCTGATCTCCCAGCAATCTAACCCGTTTCCCACAACGACAAGACTGGAGCACAAGCATGGTCATGGTCATGGTCAAGATCATGATTTTCTAGGTCCCATCTCCATAAGGATCTAATAGATGCATCGATAAATACAACAGCGTTAAGGTTATTGTATTGTATAGCGCAGTTACGTACAAGCCAGTAGGTAGTACTTGGTTTGCATTCCATTTCGATGAATGGAAGGCTTCGGATCAAAGGTCAACGCAGTATCCGTCAGTACCTACCTACCTAGACTACTAAGGTCCATACTAAAGCATCCAGTCTCAATAACCCTGCGTCGAGAAACCGACTCCACTACCTGTCGTCTTGTCCCTCTCACACCACGTGGAGCCTAACCCAAAGAATCCATAAACTCCCCCTACCTGATGTATTGGATGTACAGGTATGTACAGTACTCCGGGAGACTGCCGCGGACCCGCCCCGCCCGCTAATGAATGTTTTGGGTAATTACCTAGTAGATAGGTACCTACCTCTTACCTACAGTAATACGGAGTTCAGTAATGTACTATTACAGTATCCGTACACATATATTACTATTTTGTCCTCAGTACAGTTATTTGTAACGGAAAGGAAAGAAGAAGAAAAATGATAAAAAGATAAAAAGATAAAACTATAACGCAAGGGCTACAAAAGAACTTGTACTTCCCTTGCTTTTATTCTTCTCTTTTCTTCTTTCCTTTTTTCCCTACCCGTCCCTATAAAACCAGATTTCCATATATTGGCGCAAGTCTTATCCAAGGAACAACTTGGACAAAGATATCTGCTGTTCTAGAAAGAATAACAGGCTAACTACATATTACGCACCCAGCCTTCTATATCAATACGCAGCAGAGCCTATTTTTAAAAAGACAGTTATAATTGAAACATTCTATTAGATAATGTCCTGTCAGGCAAGTACATACAGTATCTACACTAATAACGCGCTAAATCAAACGGTAGCCCCTCACTTCAGAATAATAAACTTACTTTGTATCGTATCTTGCTGTACATACGTATTTGCTTAAATGAATGCTGGTTTCGTCCGGACGCCAGTACCGTCCGACCGTTGCGGGGTACAACAGCGTTGCGACAAATAGGTTGCAGATCCGAGGGGCCGGAGCTGAGAGAGGCTAATGTACAGAGGTGAAAGGGAGGGGAGGGCCCGAATGGGGGTTGATTAGCGCATATCTCGAGTTTCCATTCTTTCCATAGCGAGATGAATCCTTCTAGCTCGCAACTCGTTTCCCTAAAGCTTACAGTCATTTCCATTCCGGCAACATCCCCTGGCGTGTTGTGGATCCAGGATGCCCAACTGCTGAGAGGGACACCAAGAATATTGGATCCCGAATATGACGCCTGTACTCTGTTCTTAGTGATCCGCATCCTCCTGTCGATCTTGTCGGCCAGATTCATTCTTTTGCTGTAAGTAAGACGCGACGACGGGTTCAGTAACGAAGTTATACATATAATTTTTGCCTCTTCTTTAGAACCTTAGCTTTATGCCTCTCCCCTGACATGTACAGTACAATATGTGGTAGTGGTTTCGGTTTATAAAGGAGCCTCATGAATAACCGATCAACCAATGCCACCTGCATAAATACATGAGTCTTTACCAGTGGAAACACTAGCATTACGGCATGGCCGATGATAGATGGATTGTTGCTAATTAGCCCAGATGCTACTGGTGAAATCAAGAGAAGCTCCATCGCTGTCAACAAGCAATGGACTGATTGATTGCACCTAACATTCAGCAGGTGCATTCTGGTAGCTCAATCAACCAGTGACAATTAGCAATGGACGTCTCATCGAAAATGACAAACCTCTGATGATATAAAAAGGTCCATGAAATTAAACACGAAATCATCGGGAGATTAGACTGTTCCAGAGTCGCGGCTTGGACGACGGACCGTGTCGATAGTTTTGCGACAACTGTATACAAGCGCAGCAACTTCACGCAAACACGTACAGTGTATACCAGCATATCTTCGAGACCGCATCAACCGTTCTGATACAGGGGTTCTCTGGATGCGAGACCGTCTGGAAGTCTCATCAACTTCCCCGTGTAATAGTCCGTCTCGCACTAGAACTTAACGTGCTTGACCAGGGAGCCTCGCATCAAGTGGGGCGCGGAATGCAAGGCGCGCCCGCGACGACGGTCTTGCGCCGGTGCACTGGAAACGGGATCTCTTTTTGACAGCCGCCGTACTATGACGCTACGCCTGAACTGCGCTGGTGGTAGTTAAAAACAGTGAGTGATACCCAGTATCCCCTCCACTCCATTCTAGGAACATGCCTGCTTAGGTACCCAGGTAGGTATGTAACTACTAACTTACGGATACACACTCACCATATTGGCAGACACAACGCCGTCTGCTGGTCGATTTGGTGATGATGGAGCACAATGGACTTCTCCGCCTAATCGCTTCAGCCCGGCCCCGGATGATTTCATGATCTCGCGATCACGCTTCAAAGATCCAACTGATTCGGTCTGCTTGACCGATGCCCAGCGGCTAGGAAAGCTGCTTGTACGTCTCCTGGCTGGCCTAACTCTCTGTCTCGCTGGCGGATGTGTGTCTCGTGTCTCGTGCCTCTTTCCTTTTTTTCCCTTTTTCCTTGTCGTGGTCAATTACGCTGCGTTCTTGATTAGATGTCTGGGTAGATGCTGCCATCCCTGCTCTCATTGGCTCCCATTCTCCGGCCTCAGTCCCCTGAACCTGTTTGCTCGTCTTGACAAGGCCCCCAAGTCTCCTCCTCGTTCCTGTGGATAAAGGACGAGTGGGCTCCTGCACTCGGACCGCCAGTCTTCGAGGCGGACAGGTCTTATTACGGACTGAGTGGATAGACATTCCCTGTACCTTGAGCATGATCTATCGACACCGACATTGACTCCGACATTTCATACCCGTCACCGACTCTATAACCGTCAAAAGATACGATATGTCGCCCTTGACCGACGGTTTCGCAGACGGAATCGTGTCTCGCTCTGCGTTGGGACATGCAGAGTACGTACTCCCCGTTGTGGATGTCCCCATCATCCGTTTGTTATCGTGCTCATGTGGAGTTGTTCACTCGAGACTGACATAATTGATCGTAGTTAGTAGTAAAAAGCCAAGATATGCGTCGATGCAGGAACCCAGGGAAACGATAACAACAGCATGTACGTACATACGCATAGCATGTATAATTAAGTTGTTAGTTATGGTACCTAGACAGGTTTATGCTTATGCTTATGCAAGTCTTCTTTTGCTTCTGATCAAGTGGCAGTGTACATCGACGATCTTACGCCCGGGACGTGACCCGTACCTCAGCTACTTACCTACTGTACTGGGTACGTAGGTGAGATTGCTTCGTGCCAACTGTCGCACGTACTTAAACTCCGTTCTGGCATAGTGTAGTGTCTCAGCCAACATTCAGTCGGTGCAGCTTTCAATTGAATGGCGTTTGGCTGTTGCTAGGTTCTCCTGACAGAGTTTTCACTCTGGGCGGGCTTGTTCGGCTGCTCGTTCGCCTCGCTCAGAAGCTGACCTACTACGTACAGTAGGTCGGTACTATAGGTAAATACCTGCCTGCCCGTGCTTGCTTCTTCCAGTACTCATCCATAAACAGTTAGGAGCATGATAGATAGGTGGCTTGAGGTGCCCCTCGCCGCCCCTCCACCGAATTGGGCCCCGCTATTGTATCAGTAGGTAGGTGGACCAGGTAGGTGCTCACCTGGTCTCCGGGCATGGTCAGTACGGGCTACATAGAGGGCAAAGGCCTGGATTCACAGGGGTGTGATGGGGGCTGACCGGCCTAGCATTGCTGGCTATGCACTGAGAGTCACTGGTGCATAGTACTACATTCGTTCGCTGCCCGCTGAGGACAAAGTATCCAGCGACCACTACCACGCCTACACGGTAGGTACATACCTACCCGCCAAGGAAGGTCGACGTCCATGCCACATTATGCATTCGTGGACCTCTCTGTCCCTTACAAGGTATTTGTAGACTAGTCCATTGCTCCATGCTTTTGTGCTGTGCTATGCTATGCTGTGATATGTACTGCACCGCGCTGCGCTGACACGATCGTCCCAACTCCTGACCGTCCAGTCCATGCTGTCCAGCACAACCCAGCCTCAGCCAGTGACTTCTCAGCCACCCCTCTCCCTCCCTCCCTCCCTCCCTCGATCCTTCCATTTCTCCCTCGTCTGTTCCCTCTTCTTGGTTTTCCATGGATGGTTCCCCTCCTTCCTTCCTTACCTCCCCACCCAGAAAATAGGTGCCCCCCCAACTCCCGGGTCACTCTCCCCTCCGGATTTCTCCCCCCTCTCCCGTCCGCCCCTCTAAGTATTCTACGCCCCCCTCGCTTTTATCCCCTTCTTCCTACTTTCCCCTCCGTCACCAGCTCGACTCTTTTCGACAATCATCTCGCACCACTTCGCCTGTATCATCCAACCTGTACAAACTCCTCGAAGAGGCTAACTAGAGCCTTCTCCCTATCAAACACGCAACTCAGCCACTCCATGACCATCGATCAATCATATCCAATGACCATCACGTTGAAGATCACAACTTTCACCCTTTAAACCCCACGGGAGCGCGCGCAAGCGAAGAGCCAGCAGCCGAGAGCAAGAGCGAGAGTAATAATATTCTACGAACCAGACGATATTCAACCATCGTGCTGTCGGGCCCAGCCTAATTGCCCGACTTCCGATCGCAACATTGCCGTCGTCCTCTGTCGCTATCCACACTTGGAAGACGCGACCCGACTACGTCAAGATGCCCGGTGCCAACGTAGCAGTCCTCCCGCCTCCTGCGGCCTCGACAGCCTCTTCGCGAAAGACCTCATTAGCACCCGAACGCAAATACAAGTGCCAGTTCTGCAATAGGGCTTTTAGCAGGAGCGAACACCGAAGTCGCCATGAACGATCACGTACGTCTACCACACCCGTCTCAACTTCACCATCAATAACCATGCCCTGATCCCTCCGCTCTTAATTGGTAAGCTGACATTGTTACAGACACAAAAGAGCGACCTTTCAAGTGCATGAAGTGTAGGAGCACTTTCGTCCGTCGTGATCTTCTTCTCAGACATGACCGTACCGTCCATGCTAAAGATGGCGGCGTCCCACTTCACAGCGATGGCAAACGTCGGGCTGGCCCCAAAACCCGCGCTGTTGGCGCGCCCTCAAAATCATCCATCCCTATCGATACTTCAACCCTTGAGCAAATGGAATCGGGTACCGATACCATGTTTGATGTCGAAGCTGCCGCTATGCTTGTTGCCGACTTGCACCACAAGGCTACAGCTGCAATGCGCGAAGACCACTCATACGAAGACAGTCCTTCGATGACATACTCGCCTCACAACGCCTCCGCTATGGAATCTACAGTGACATACCCATCTGGCGCCATCGCATTACCTCAAGTCCAGTGGGACGGTTTCATGTCTCAGTCTGTCGCCGAGCCCAAGGCACACTCCATCACCTCGAGCGCGTCCGGCTCATTCGAGTCGCAACCATCCTTTGCTAGCGGGGCCACACTGCAGCCTCAATCTAATCAGCTCCCCCCTATCAATGGCCAGAACTGCAACGGCTTAGTTCCCGCTCTGCAATCAATGATCAATTCCTTGCCAAACTCTGCGGCCGCGCCACCTTCTCCATGGGTTTCGGAATCTTCTAAGGCTGGCTACAAGGCTCCTGAAGTGTTGGGCGACGATGAGCGCAACGCTATTTTGGACAACATTCGGAATGCGGACAGTGAGCATGCTATCCCCGAGGGCTTCCGTCTGCCTGGTCTTGGCTCATTGAACCGATATCTTTCAACATACTTCGGCCTGTTCCACCACCATCTGCCTTTCCTACACCCCGCCTCGTTCTATCCCACGAAAGTCTCGCCTCAGCTATTACTGGCAGTTCTCAGCATCGGTGCGCTTTATGCTTTTGATCAAGAGCAAGCATACATGCTTCACATCGGCTCAAAAGTTTTAGTGAACCAATTCCTCCAAAGTAAGGAGAACTTCAGCTCTCGCAAATGTCCTTTGTGGACAATGCAGAGCAACTTGCTTAACATGGTTTTCGCCAGCTGGAGTGGCGATCCCAAGGGACTCGAATGGACGTGCTCGATCAAGAGTCTGCTCGCCAACATGGTCGCTGGTAATAGATACGAACTCAAGCTGCGCCAGGAGGCCCGTACCGGCGCCAAACCAACTCGCGCTGAATGGGTCGAGGATGAGGGTTGCCGTCGCACTTACTATGCAGTTTACATCTTCTTTGGGCTCTTAACTCTCACATACAATCACACTCCTGCCATCAGTTTCAGCGAATTCGAAGACTTACAACTTCCTTCCACGGAAACACTTTGGAACTTGCAGGTTGCAGACGAAACGACGTGGCAAGAACATCTTGCAGCATCCACGACTGTAACTTTCATGGAAGCTCATGACAATCTTTTCCAGGGCGAAACCCTCCGATACAGTACATTTGGTACTCGTGTTATGATCAATGCATTGTTTCTCGAGGTCTGGTATCATAAGCGAAGCCCTGAAGCCTTGCAAGACGTGGTTACCGAGTACAAGTTACGATTGGCACTAGAGACATGGGAGAAATCAGTCGATATGTGTGAGACCGAAGCGTTTCCCGTTCCCATCAGCGCCCCTCATAAGGGTCATCCCTTGATCTTCAATGCCAAGGCCATGTACCGCAACGCTCGTGCACGTCTCGAGGTTGACCTCAAAGCAGTACAAGAAGCGTTGCGCTATCACGAGCCTTATGAGGTTGCAGCTGCCATGACGCATGCTCGCGACCGTGTAAAGCGCTCAAGTGAGATGGTCAAGGTTATCGATGAATGCTACAACTGCCTAGAAACAGTTGTCTCTCAGGGAGTTAGATGGATTGCACGTGTATCGCCCACCAACTGGAGCGTCGAGCACGCGCTATGTGGGATGGACCTGATGATCATTCTATCACTATGGCTCTATCGTCTGGAACACGATGAAGAGCCTGCTACCCAGGAGGAGCTGGCTATGTATAACAAAGTCCGGCAACTCCTGGTTAAGGAGATCGATGAGAATTACATGTCTCAACTTAGCGCAGTCGTTGCAAGACTCTGGGGGTCCATACTTGACGAAGTAGTTGTTTGGGGGTATGTATTCATTGCTCAGACATCTCAGCATGGTATAGCTAACCATTTCACAGCATGACAAGACTCATGGGCGATTCTTTCAAATTGCATTCTCAGGCTCTTGTCGGCTATGTCGATGACCCTGAAGCTTCCTCTAACGTTTCCACGCCTTCGATGATCTCGCAGGGGGCTGATGAGGATAGCGTGTACTAAAATTAATTGGTGATGACTGAAATGACTTTTCCTACATTGTTTTAGCTGTTGGGCTGGTTCGGGCTTTTTTCTTGTCTCCTAGGCATATACCTTTTCTGGCTTTTCTTGTTAAGCTTGGTTTTGTTCGCGGGTTGATTTGTTGTTTTCTGATTTCATCAATTCCGGCGCGGAAGGCTCGGTGTTGGACTCATCTATCTCCTTGCATTTCCATCTCCTTATGGTTCTTATCTCACTATCTCCTTGGCGATACCCGAGACAGGGCGGGTAGTCGCAATGTCCAGTTTTGCAGTTCATCGCTTTCCGTTTCGCGCTTTGTGTTTCCAACGGGCACATGATTTTATTTCCTCGTTTGCGTCTTGTTTTTTCCTTTCCCTTTTTGCATGGTTACGAAGGGTTAAATGACATTAATAGGGGTTAAGGAAGAGATCAGGAATCGGTTTTCGCAATGGGACGCCCCGAGCAGAGGGGATCGGATCACTTGCTTAGTGACGGCGCTGGCTAATTACTGCGATGGCAGGATGGTTGGCTGGTCCAAGACGGCTGTTGTCGCCTTCTACTCCCTCTGTTCTTTATATTGTGGCATCTTTATGGTCTTCTTCTTTTGCCTTTCTTTCTTTCTTCCTAATATTTTTTTCGTGGAACTCCTTCCGACATGCAATCCTGAATTGAATGAATGTTGGGTTTTGATCTGCCTTATTCTACTTTTCATCTTTTGTTTTGCTTTCCACTTGGTTTGATTTCGTTCTGCCTGTTCGATTTGGCTTCCAGATACCTTGTTCGATATACAGATTGCTTGTTTCGCGGCCATGGGACGGCAATAGCATGGTTGGGCATGACTTGGATGCCCTTTAGGCTCAGTGCCACAGCATGCCGCCGAGAGGAGGCTGGCCCATACTCGTGTATAGATGAATAGTGTTTGCTTGAATAATCAGCACCTGTCGAATGCCATTATCACACTTTGGAGGGCTAGTTTGCGATGCTACATATGACATGATTGCCCACAGTTCTGCAGCAAAAGTTCTAGCCACTTTTCCAAATCAGTGACTTAACAGTATGACTTTTTAGGATCCAATGAATGAGAACTTGAATAGGGCAGCCCCAATACTTCCCGCGTTCTATTGGCATCTTGGAATAGAAGCTCGCATCGCAGACTTAAGGCAAGCAAGTACTAACCTACTCTACTACGTTGCCTCGTACCTGGCTTCGGATCTGGAATACGCGTTTTCTGTAAAGGCCAGATAGCTAGCAAGAAGTGGAAGTCTTGGAGGGAATTCCTACCTCACTTGACAACCAACTTCCTTATAGGTAGGTACCTAGGCAGGTATCGTACACACATGCCTTGCTTGTCCCGGCTGTCTTGCTTTCACGCCTGCATCTCGCATCCAGATTTCAAAGTGATAAGAGGCATTGTCATTACTTGACCAACCTTGATCGCATGACACTTTCCTCTGTCACCATGATTGTATCGCTCGGTGTCCTTACTACAGTGGTGCGTCTAGCGTCCGGTGTCTGTGACTGTGGTTATTCACTCCAAGGATTCGAGGGTGAAGGGTTGGTGGTGTTTATGGATCGACTAGAGACAAACTTCAGCCAACTTCAAAGCATCGCCCAGAGCCATAATTGGGTCGCTCAAGGATTTACAGTATCAGCAGAAGATGGCCGGGGGAACTACAGCAAGACCTTTGAACCGTCAAACGTTGTCATTCAAGCAACGCAGCCTCGAGACGAGCCAGGCCAGGATCCCGGCGTTGAGTTGCATGTAAGCAGCGTCATCAGCAAAGACAATGCAATTCCAGCCAGCGAGATAGATACAACAAGACTCGATCTTCACTGGGGATCATTCCGAGCTGGAATGAAGTTGACAGACACGGGGGGCACGTGTGCGGCATTCTTCTGGGTAAGCAAATTGCACTGGCTCTCGAACCGAGGAGATTTAACAGGATGAAAGTACTTCAACGACACCCAAGAGATCGACGTCGAGTTTCTATCACGAGAATTCGATCACGATGGTGGTGTCTACCCCATCAACCTCGTTGTACAGTCCATGGCATCTTTAGAGGCCGGTTATGATGCCAGCAAGACTGGAAACTTCGAAAGGGTGAACCTGGAATTTGACCCGACAGATACCTTCCACGAATATCGATTTGACTACATTCCTGGCCATGTTCTATTCTATGCCGATGGAAAACTACTCGCCCGAATGGAAGGCAGTGATATGCCTTCTGCCGGAGGACACCTAATCCTCCAGCATTGGAGCAATGGCAATCCGTTATGGTCTGGTGGTCCGCCGACAAAAGAAGCGACAGTTACCGTCAGCTATGTCAATGCCTACTTCAACTCATCGGATCACGGACGGCAGTCATATTTAGAGCGGCAATGCGACAGAACTTCTAGGAAAGCGTCAGTTTGTGCGATCCGGAACATCGCCAATGCAACGTCCCCTGAGGGATATTTGGGTGACAATGACCAAAATGATGCGGCAGGTACAGATGCCAGCTTGTTGAGAGGTTTAGGGGTTGTTTTTGCTATGTTGTTCTTGTGAGGACCCAGTTAGTCTACCAACCTATGTATGTAACGGCAGCCTGGGGTTGATATGGAAAAGAGATCCATTACCGTCAATCTTGGTCAGCACGTGTTTTCGGCGCTGACGTAGTAGACCTGTATAGGTAGCCCCCAAGCTTAGAACCAACAAACAAAACCACTGACTGGATTACTTACCTCAACCTTACTGTGTCTGTTACTGCCTCAATGTAGATAGGTAGATACCTACCTATATGGTTAGTAAGCCATGCAAGGTAGATTGAACTATGGGTGGATTGGAATGGTGATGATATTGATATCCATCGTGCTCCGTCAAGTCATTTGTTTGAGGTTTAGCCAAGAATCCAATTCAATAAACCGGGGCTCAAACAAGGCAGAAGCACCATTGGGGGCGATACTTATAAGTGCTTGGTGCTCCGCAGGCTCGCATACCGACTCCAATACGTAACATTATTCAACGTTAGGTAGAGTCGAAAGCCATGCCCACAGAACCGTTTCTAGACATCGTGCTCACCAATCATACCGACTCAAAGGCGCTCTTTGCCCATGTCACAGGCAGAGATGAGCAAGGCGTGGTGATGCTTCTCGCAGATGGAGAGACTGTTCATCGTCCCAAGTCCCCTTCCGAGATCCTACAGCCCCTGGACGCAGACATCGCCATACCTGTCGGCGGACCTGGAGCTCAAAAGACGGTGCGGATACCGCACATCTTCGGGGGCCGGATCTGGTTCTGCAAGGGAACTCCTCTTACCTTTCTGCTCAATCCTGGGCCTGCGGTGGTAGAACCATCTGTCATGAATCCGACCGACCCCAACTTTGACGCCGACTGGGGGTTCTGCGAATTCACCTATAACAACGATCAGTTGTACATCAACGTCTCATACGTCGACTTTGTGAGCCTGCCAATTGGTCTTGAACTCGAGAATGAAGCTGGCCAAGTCACGCATGTGCCAGGTCTGCCCAAGGACGGGTTGAGCCAAGTCTGCGAGAGATTGAAACGCCAGGGTGAAAAGGATGGCGCGGGATGGGAGAAGCTTGTGGTTAAATCCAAGTCAGGTTCTAACCTACGCGCCCTGAGTATCAATGCCGCCGCAGAACTGCACCCAGGATTGCTGGAGGACTACTTCGCACCAGAGATTGATGCGGCTTGGAAGCGGTACGAGAATGAGGACATCGAGATCAACACTCAGGCTGAATGGGGAGACGTCAAGGGTCGAGTGCATCACGGAAAGCTTGTCTTCAAAGATGTGGGCAAAGATAAGCTAAAGTTTTCTTTTGAGAAGCCATCAACCCGGGATATTGTATCATGCAGCTCCGGGCCGTTTGCGGGAGGGCCGGACGTTACGCCTGCACAGCTCAACGTCGGAGCCCGGCTTGCGGCGGCGCTGAACCGGACCACGCTATCGGCCAACTGCCGGCAGCCTGAAGGCGAGAAGGTAGAGCAATATTATTGTAACGGGGGGGGACAGGGTAGGACGAATCACTACTCAAGAATATGCCATGAGGTTACGCTCGAAGGTAAGGGATACGCGTTTCCGTATGACGACGTTGGAGCATCTGGCGGAGTTGATCAGAGCGGCTTTCTGAACGACGGAAGACCAAAGCTGTTGACCATCCATGTCGGCGGGCGAGATTAGCAGGATAGCCCAATATATGAATCTTAGTACGTACCTGATTGTTATAAAACCTACGTAGGTATTTACTGTACCTACCCTAAGTTTCCATATACTACCTATCTATTTGGGTCACAGCGCAGAGTTTATAGATAGCTTAACTAATAGCTACAGTAAATATTAAATTACCAAGTAGCAAGTTAGCAAATGTAAGCTACTTATTATAATAGTGTTTTTCTTAAATATAGTTAAATATAAACATGATATATTATATACCCACTTACTCTTAACATCTAGCTGATAGCTTTACTTTACTATCTAGGTCTTTATATTTAAAACTCACCTTAATCTACGAAGCGCAGGTACCTTATCTAAGATTCTTTTATACGGATTATATACCAGGCAAGTACCTAGGTAGGTAGGTAGGGAAGCTATAGATGGAAGTAGGTAGGTACTGACCAGTAATCCAGCACGCACTGCCGCGCCCCCGGACTGGTGGACCTCGGGCGGGAAGGCGGGACAGAACGAAGGAACACAAAACACAGCCATGCCGGCGGCGGCTGCCCACCCAATCTGCACGCAACAAGTTGCATCCCATCCCATCCCATCTAACTCTTCCCTCTCCTGCGCCGTCCATCCCTCTTCTTTTCCCTCTCACATCTATTTTTAATCCAACCTTGCGTTCGTCCCTCTTTAGTCGATTGCACAGCAAGATATAATTCTCCCACCCTTTATTCCAAGCACTGACTCACACGATTATGACTGATGATTAACGATTTATGATACGAGCCCTCGACAGTCAAGAAAGACTTGACGTTTGGAATATATTCGCCTCTTTCTTCACCCTCAGCAGGGTCTGTTTCTTTAGCCAAGAGTCTGTGACCGCGAGGCGACACGAATCCTCTGACTTTGGCCATGCCCTGCAAAAGTGCCAGCAGCATATCTATTCATCCGATTCTATCCCGATTGCGACTTGGTTAGCTCGGACGATCAATTACTAGGCCGTGCCTCTCCTTTATTGAAGTTGCTATGGTTTATTGCGGGAAGCCTTCCGGCGGTTGCTCCGCCTGCCGTGGTCGGAAGATCCGTGTGAGTTTGCCCGTTATAACCGACTGAGACTATTCCCCAGCGACGCCTACAAGGGCACAACTCGTTGACGCCATGGCAATTACAACCTGTTGTCTAGTCCTCTTACTGACCTATATTCCACATCTCAAGTGCGACCAAAAGGAGCCGGCCTGCACACAATGTTCGAAGAAGGGAATCGCCTGTCCCGGTTATCGAAACCTCGTTGATTTAATGTTTCGAGATGAGAGCTCTCATGTCATCAAGAAAGTAAAAAACAAACGGACCCAACCTCGCGTTCCGTCTCGAAGTAACCCTGCCGGTCAGGGACTGCCCTCTCCCTCTCCCTCTCCTTTAATACCCGCTGAACCGATATACTCATCACCGACTCTCACTACTGATTCGATATCCGGCGGAGTCTTGTCTTCTGCCCTCGAGGTAGAGAGCCCCGACAAAGCGAACGATAGACGTGCTCGAAATCACGCTGCTCGTTGTCGCCGGCCAGTACTTTCAGCTTTAAACAACGACTGGAGCCGATCCCCCTCAGAGACTTCGGAAAGCGTATTTGATATTATCGATAGCGGCGGATCATCCGAACTCGACACTCCTCTAAAAGGGGCTTTGTCTCCTGAGCTTCAGGACCGAGGCATCTCGTTCTTCTTTTCTCGTTACGTTGCGGCAAACAGTGGCTCGCCTCAGAATTATGCTTTCATATACGATGTATGGAAACCTCCAGACTCAGCTCAGTCTCAGCTTTGCCCAGTTTCTGTCAGTATGACAGCTGTTGGACTTGCAGAATGCTCTCAGAGTCTCCGATCATCTGAACTTATGATTCGCGCCCAAGAGAGCTACGCTATCGCGCTCGGATTAACGCACCGTGCCCTTCGTGACCCGATAGAAGTAGTGAAGGACACAACTATGCTGGCTGTTTTAATCCTTGGCACATATGAATTCGTTTCGGGCTACAGTGCTCACACCATGCGTGCTTGGCAGGACCATGTTAACGGAGCTGCTGCCCTTGCGAGCATCAGGGGCGCTACTCAATTTCGGAGCAAAGCTGGCGCCCGCATGTTCCTTATGCTTTGCCAGACAGTCTTAATCAGGTGCATTCAAAGCGGGCTTCCCATGCCTGAGACACTAATAGATCTTCGCCGCCAAATCCCTCCCTCTGAAGAACTTATGGGGCCTGACTTTTGCGTAGCATATCCAATCTACAAAGCACTGCAGGTTCGGCACGACATCAGATCAGGCACACTTGCTGATCTCGATGATATGATCATTGCCACATCTAATGTTCAGGAGGAAATTTCTTCAGTTCTTGCCGGGCTGCCAGAGGGTTGGAGATATCATCGTGTACAGCTGACACAACCGGATCCGCGAGTTCTAGGACAGATTTGTCATGTCTACACAGGCCTTCTCCAGTCCACCACTTGGAATATGGTGCGCGGCATCCGCATGCTACTGTTGGAAACCTTTGTCGAGAAGTTGTGTGCAGTGTTTGAGTCATCCGGCGGCTCTGCAAAATCGGAGACTCATCTTCAGATTCTTGCCAGGTCTGTCAGACTCCTGAAAATGCTCGGACAATCAATCGCTGCGAGCATTCCCCAGCATCTTGGGGTCGTTAGTATCCGGGATATCAACAGCCAAAAGGACCCAGTGCATACGGTATCGATTGCTGCTAAGAAGCAAGCTTCTCGGGTACTATCGACATCTCTTGTTCAAGATATACGACTCGGAACCGGTGACGACGTTTCGAGTAGCGGTGACAGTCCTGTAATGTTTGACCCAACCCAATCAACAGCTACAGCTGACGATGCCACCCGTTTCATGAGCCTTGCTTCAACCAACAATACCATTATTTGGCCATTGTACATGCTTGGCATGTCATCAGCCTGCGCTCCAGAGACTAAACAGTACGCCATAGAGGGCCTCTATGCCATACATAGAGAAGCTGGCCTGGAACAAGCGCGTGTGGTTGCAGGATTGTTACAAGAGCAGAAAGTCAGCCCTTCTATCCGCAGTTCGTCGCTCCTCAACGAACTCCCATCAATAGACTCGAGCGCCCTGCCTTCGATAGTTTGATATACTAGGCTATGCTTGATGCATCTGATCGGTACAATGCTGATTGACACTCTTTACTATTTCATTCGGTGTTCAGTTGGACACCATGACAAATGCATCATACTTCATTGGCTGGAGTATTGTCGGACGGGCTTTGCCATTTCTTAGTATGATTCTCTGATAGAAGGAATGAGATTTAGAAGTGCACGTACCCAGCACCATCGAGCTATTAACGAATTTGTTCTGCGTAAACAGTGGGTATCCGTTCAATTTACCAATTATCGAAATTGCCAAAGCCACCCCCTTTCATCTTTTTGCGTGCTGGCTCCTCCCATGTTTCAACATCCCTCAAGCCTGCTTCTGTGTTTGTTGTTGCGCCCTGTTGACCGGCAGCCTTCAGGTACTTGCCAACACCTCCTCCAGAGCTTGTACTTTCGATGCTGCCATCGTTTCGTATACGTTTACCGGCCCATGTCGTCTTGTCATCGTCTGTGCCACCTTGCAGCCGGATCTTCTCCTGCTCCTTTGCTTGGAGCTCGTTTTCGTGTTTCTGCTTTTGAAATTGGGCGAATGGATCAAGGAGGATCACAACATCCTTCATAACGATCTTGTTGAGGGGACGGTTAGAACCATCGGTAGGGACATTTTCCATTTTTGATAATACGTTCAGATTTTCGACGACCTTTCCAAATACTGTATGTTTACGGTCAAGGTGAGGGGTTGGTTTGTAGGCGATGAAGAACTGGCTCGAGTTCGTGTTTTTGCCCTTGTTGGCCATGGAGACTGGGAGTGTCAGGTTAGTAATGATTGAAACGAAACACACTGGGAAAGCCACTTACTGGTTCCGCGGCCATTGTGCGACATGGGACCATCGAACTCATCATCAAAATACTTGCCCCAAATGCTCTGCCCACCTCGACCACTTCCCGAAGGATCACCCCCTTGAATCATGAAGTTGGGAATATTTCGGTGAAAGGCCACACCTTTGTAGTAACCTGTTTGGGATAACCTGATGAAATTCCAGACAGCCTTTGGAGCAAACTCTGGATATAACTCAATTGTCAGATCGCCTAAATTTGTTTCAATCCTAGCAAAGCCAGTAGTCTTAACGCGCCTGGGTTTCAACATATACTCCTCATCCGAAAGCAGGGCTCTCTCGCCACTCGTCTCGGGCGTTAAGCTTGTGCTAGTAAAACTAGCTGCGGCTTTGCCGGTTGTGTATATAGCAGAGTTGGCAGCCAGTTTCTTGTCCTTGATCATGGACTGACGGATAATGTTGCCAGCAGCCGTGAGTTTTGTTGAAGTGACCGAGCTGCGGTTAACATCGCCGCCCTGCTCGCGAGCTTTGCGCGCCTTTTCCACTGCCGCTTTGGCGCGTGAAACTTTATCGCCCATGCTTCCCAGAGCACTAGAGTTGATGCTGCCAGCGTTCCGCTCTTCTTCCTGCTCTTTTGTTAATTGCGCCTCGTGTCCCTCTTTCAGAAACTTGAACTGGTCCAAGTTACGGCTCGCCGCATTCTGGGGGTCTTGTAGAGTGATGATATCGGCGCGAGTGAACTCTTCGTCGTCAACCAAGTCGCGCCACGATTTGGCCTTAATGTTCATGCGATCGACTGTATCCCAAGCAAATACGTTGGCGTAGGAGCCATGGCGAATAGCAACGATGTGTGTGTTGTCAGTGAACACCTTGTACGTAACTGGGTCAATCAAATCGCCTTTCCCGTCACTCAGCCCGGCACCAAGTGAGTCTGACTCTGAATTTCGGGCGAAGTTCAGGCGAATCAAATCCTTTTTCTGCAGAGGCTCTCCAGTGACGGGGTTCTGATTGGGATGCTTCTCGAGCCATGCGCCAATGACTTCCACGTCAAAAATTGTTCCATCCAGTGTACAAACTGGGTTCTTGAAAGGTTGGAGGCTCGCGGCACAAAAGTTGAAGGGAAGTCGACGAAAGGAAGCGCTGGCTTGTTGATTGCGAGACGCGCCTGCACCGACACTGGGGGAGAAAGCGTCTGCCGAAGACCACTCCGAGTGCGTGATCTAAGAGGTAGCACGTCACGTCAGAAGAAATAATGGTCTCAATCGAGGGTGTTGACTTACATAGAGCTTGTCCGTGCCTTTGCCCATTGTTTCGCTGATCAAATAGAAATAGATGAGGTAGGTCCTAAGGTAGAGTTGAAAAAGATTCAAGTTATGACATTGGATGTCTGTTCCATCCACAATTCCTACTGCCTAACCTAGAGGTAGGTAGGGTAGGTAGGCAGTACCTACTAAGGTACGGGCGGGCTAGGGTGCACCACGCTACCTAATATACTAACTTCCCATTACCTCAGACACTAGCATGGTGCCTGAGACGACCTCCAGCTGGGGCTTATTGTTAGCTATCTGTCCAATGAGAGTGCCGCCCGGTGCTGACCTGGCATCATGGGTGACCAATTACGTATACACGTTGATTTGCTCCCTTGAATCTCCAACTCAAGACACCCTCTTGCATTCACGAAACAACTGCCTTCGACTACCTACTGTGCACCAATTCATCCTCCCCCACAGCTTAAACACCCATCCCATCGATAATATCAAGGTTTCTCTTCTGCACTGCGACGCGCAAACAGGACATTCGAGAGGCTCCAGCTCGACATGCCCCATATATTCACAAGCTATCCGTACAGCGCCACCTCTTAACGCCTCCAAGCTCCTTTCTGCCTCCAACTTGGACATTTTCCTATTCTAGCCTCGTTATCCCTGATCTATCTTCAACACCCTGGAGCTTCCGCCGCTGTATTTACGATACGACCATCATGAAGTTCCTCACGGGACTGTTTGTGCTGGGTATGTCCTTCTGGACAGCCCAGGCTTATGAGATCGGACTGGTATGGGACGGCCTCACGAGCTACGGAAAGCGCCTGCATCACAATTTTGCTGACTCTTCTTACACTTAGAGCAACAAAGAGGGCTATCAAGAATACTGTACTGGTAGGCGATGATCATAACATGTGCGATTTCACTCTTGGACCTAACAGATTCCAGGCATGTACAGCAAGTCTTCATGGGGCGGACCCGTTGACCCATTCATTCTCGTCAAGTTCCTCAACAGCAGCGATTCGGGCGTTAAAGACCCAGCTGCCAGTCTTGTGATATTCGAGTGGAAGGACAGAAACCTCGTAGGCATTCCGGACCCCGAGGTTCCCGGTAACGTGAGTGGCATCCCGAGGCGTCCCAATCGGCGCATATTAACATGGTTAATACAGCGACTCGGCGTCTGCGGAGACGATTTCGTTAAGCAAGGTTACTGCAACAAAACCGACATTGGAAAGTTCATATTGCACCCAGATGTCGACAAAAAATCTACCAGCGTCGTCCTCACCAAGGCGGTCCATCTCAACAAAGCTGCCCCCATCAACTACTCCATTAAGAAGACTGGCTACTATTGTGTTCTTACGGACGTCGTCAACACCAAGAACTACGAGCTTGTGGTCGAATACCGCAATGCTTATGGCGAACTCGAGGCTACTCAAATACCCAAATTGCCGTTCTACGGCGGCATGAGTATCTTGTATGCGCTCCTCGCTGCGTATTGGGGGTTTCTGTACTACCAGCACAGACACGATATCTGTGAGTGCCTTCGACGTATGAAACTTGATGAAGTTTATACTGACTATATTCAGTGGCCGTGCAGAACTACATTACAGCAATCCTGATCTTCTTGGTAGTCGAAATGCTCATTACTTGGGGCTTTTATGGTCTGTTCCACGTTTTTGTTGGTTTACTCTATCTGACTCGAGAGCAGAACATCAAAATCGCCACGGCTCCAATATCGGCTCCAAGGTTTTCCTCACTATTGTAGGAATTCTCAACGCTGGCCGAAACTCGTTCTCGTTCTTTCTGCTGCTTATCGTCTGTATGGGTTATGGTGTGGTCAAGCACACCCTGGGTAAGACCATGATCAGAGTGCGATGGCTTGCAGCAGCCCACTTTCTATTTGGCCTCGTCTACTCGCTCACTTTCCTGTCCATTACTCCCGAGACGGCTGGTAAGGAAATTCGTCATTCATACACGCAATATTCACTGACTTGAAGCAGGTCCATTTGTGCTGTTAATTGTTCTTCCTTTGGCAGGTACCTTGACTGCATTCTATGTCTGGACCCTTAACTCCCTCAATTGGACCCTCAAGGATCTCCGGGAGCGGAAGCAGCATGCCAAGGAAGCTATGTATCGAAAGCTTTGGTGGGCTATTCTTATCAGTGTCATGGTTATTTTCGGCTTTTTCTTCTTCAACAGTTTTACATTTGCCTCTGCCAGCGACCCCGATTTCGTTCCATTTCATTGGAAGACACGATGGTTCATTCTTGATGGCTGGCTGAACGTTGTATACTTTGCTGACGTAGCATGGATCGCGTATCTCTGGCGCCCTACCTCCAACAACCGCCGCTTCGCCATGAGTGACGAGATCGCCCAAGATGACGATGGGAACTTTGACCTTGGCGATATTGGTGTCCCGGGCGAAGATTCAGATGATGAAGAGGCCGATATCGCCAAGCCTCAGAACAACTCACACAACGCCAACGGTCTGTCTTTTCCGAGCGCATCTCAGAGCGCCCCTCAGCAGTCAAGGAACACTCGCACTGCACCTCGTGAATCTCTAGAAAACGAGACCATTTTTGCCGTTGGGGAGGATGGAGACAAGTTCTCAGACGATGATGACAGTGACGAAGAAGATGCGAAACTTGTAAAATCGAAGTAAGAGGATCAAGATATCGACTTGGGCTGAACGATCGAGGGGCTACCTTTGGCGCATTGTTTTTGTGTATTTATAAATCAGCCAGAAAGATCAAGTACTATTGATGAAGGAAGCGAGTTCCCAATTGTGTAGAACTTTTCAACTTCAATGGAGCTCTTAAGATGTAGTAGTAGAATATCGATAGATAAAAGCCAATACAGTAGTTTGCATTATGCATGGTTTTAAAAGCGATTCTTCTTAATTCCTGCAGGGCAAAGACTGAGGACCAGCCATCATGATATAGGATGCCTAACCTAAAACATCGCCTCCAAATCCAACTGGTCGCCTTCGACCATCATTTTCAGGCAATATCGCCAACGCCTTGTACAACTTCCCCATGCCATCCGGACCTTTGTCAACAAGACGTTTCCAAGCCCCATCGATCTTGTCAACGGTATCCTTTTCCACACCAGGAGCCTTGGTCAGCTGTTCAGCACGTTCGCGAATACCCATCACCTCGAGGAAGTCGCCTTGATTGACAGGACCGTGAACCTCAACGCCCTCGCTCGCCGACATAGCCACCTCTGCAATGGCAGTGAAATCAACGTCAGCACTCAGATCAACCAGGCCAGGGGCGGTGAAGGGATTCACGCGCCTGTGGTGACGGATGCCTCGGAGGGAGTTGATGGGGACAGTGTCCGAGGTTCCGTAATCGAGGATGAGAGCGGCACCACTAGGCTTAGGCTTGGGGTGTTGATCGGAGCCGCCAATGCGAGTTGCAAAGTCTGTAGCGAAAATAGAAGCATCGGGACAAATCTCAATGTTTGAATTGGGTATGTTCTTGAGCTTGCGGTACCGAGTGGAAGTCTCGGGGAGGAAGCGAGAGTGGCGGGTAGTGGTAGACGAGAGAGTGAGCTGGAACTCTGGGGGAGGCTCATGTTGCGCTGACTTTGGTGTCCCGAGCTGGGCATGAGTGACGCCCGGCGGCGTCGGTGACACCATCATTTCTCGCCATTCCATAGTGAGCTTGCTGTTTTCAGATTGTGGCTGGGGAGCTGAAGTAGGCGAAGAAGATTTTGGTAGAGGGGGAGGAGCAGGAGCTGACTGGAAACTGTGGATGGGTAGAGCATCGAAGAACTCATGGGCGATTATAAAGGGCATCTTGTCAGATTCCATAATGATGTTAGCTTGACTACTGCAGAATTATGAGGTGCTATTGTTTACCATAAGGGATTGACTTGATAGTATCGGTCCAGACGGTTTGCTTGCCATTGTACTTGTTGGGACTGTGAAAGCCAGACTTTGATTCTGATGATAAGGCATCAGGCCCGCAAAGAAGTTCTTTCTGAGCAGTTCGGAGCTCACGACTGGCTTCTACCATGTAGACAGCATCAATGCTGTTAGCCATAGCAGGAAAACGTTGGATTGTCTGAGAGCGAGTTAGTGAGAGCGATTGGCAGGTTGAGATCTGTTGCATACTCGAAGCATATCATCCATGAGGGTACCACGACCAGGCCCGACCTCAATGATCTGAACTCCCTGTTTTGGTCGACCCTGACTGATCCACTCAGCAATGAACCATACACCAATAAGTTCACCAAAGATCTGTGAGATCTCAGGTGAAGTAACAAAGTCCCCCTTTGTTCCGAACTGATCTCGGCCTTGGCCAATGGCTCCAGTATAGTAACCACCGATATCACCAGTCAAGCACATGCGCATGTAGCTCGCTAATGGAACAGGTCCAGTTGTCTGACAAATGTTAACATACAAGGTATCTTAAGGCTCTAGAGGCTCGCTCACTCACTGAGATAGCAGCAAAGAGCTGTTTGGCCAACGGGGTCGACCACTTTCTCCCATTCTCTAAGTCGCCATCGATAGCAGTCTCTTTCTGATGTTGGCAAATGCCACATGAGAAGCTTTTGACAAGACAAGAGTTGACTGAGTTTGGCCGCCACGCACATCGAGTATTGGCAAACCTAACAACATGCCTTGTACTCAGCGATCTGAACATCTTGCGTCTCTGATTACCTAGGTAGTCAAGTAATCAAGAGATAGGTACTGAGGTAGGTAGGTACCCAAGTAGTGGGTGGCACTCATAAGAAAACGCCCATGACGATGTTTTCCCCAGACAAAGCTATAATGTTAGCCTATGTGCCGATAAGATAAGGAATCGCTCAACATCAACCACGGCACGGGCTGTTCTCTCCACAGCTTGAATGTTCTCTTGTACTTAATCAGGTGTCCAAATAAGCTCTGCTTGTTTCTCCCGCACCTACGATTCTCTCGAAACCCATCCAATTCTTACCAAAAGAGAGCTCTGCATTCAGTATAGCGCCCGCCATGTCTAGCAAATCGCGGTGGGCCGACACAGAAGAAGACGCCCGCCTCGACGCCAAGCTGAAAGAAGAAAAGAGACGGAAAAGGGCAGAAAGGGCACGGAAAATCGAGGAAGAGAAGAGAGCGCAGGCTGCAGCGACACAGAGTACACTCGAAGCCGACGATGACAGACCTTCAAAACGACGAAGAATCACACCCGAACCAGGCGCAGGACATGACGAGAACACACCCCCAGCCAAGCTCCTGCGATTCCCGACTGGTACCTGGGGGAAGTGCAGAAGCGTCGAGAACTACGAGAAATTGAACGATATTGAGGAGGGAACCTATGGTTGGGTTGCGCGGGCAACGAATAAAGCTACGGGCAAGATTGTCGCATTGAAGAGACTAAAGCTAGAACCTCAGGATCGGAACGGACTGCCGGTTACAGGACTACGTGAGATACAAATACTGAAGGATTGCCAACACCGGAACATTGTTCCAATGGAGGAGGTCGTTGTGGGTGACGATGTATCGCGGCCGGACAAGTAAGCACCCAGCTACTCGTCTCACAGTATCACTGATACTAATCAACCGTTACAGCTCTTTGTTCTTGGTTCTCGAATTCGTAGAACACGACCTAAAATCCATCCTTGAAGATATGCCCGAGCCATTCCTCTCCTCCGAAGTCAAGCGCCTTCTCCTACAGCTCACATCCGGCATCGCCTATCTCCACGACAACTGGATTCTTCACCGCGATCTCAAGACTTCCAACCTTCTCCTCAACAATCGCGGCCAGCTGAAGATCGCCGACTTCGGAATGGCGCGCTATGTTGGAGACCCTCCACCCAAGCTTACCCAGCTCGTCGTCACACTGTGGTACCGCGCCCCCGAGCTACTCCTCGGTACCAAAACATATAACGCCGCTGTTGATATGTGGAGTGTGGGTTGCATATTTGGTGAACTGCTCACTCGTGAACCCCTTCTTCAAGGTAAAAACGAAGTTGATCAAGTCTCGCATATCTTTGAGCTTTGCGGCATCCCTACAGAAGAGACATGGCCTGGTTTTCGACGTCTTCCCAACGCACGCTCATTGCGTCTCCCCAAGGCACAAGTTGCTACCGGCTCTGTCGTCCGAGCTCGCTTTCCCAGCCTTACCAGTGCAGGTGCAGGGTTGCTGGGCGACCTGCTGTCACTTGACCCTGAGCGCAGGCCATCAGCACGTGAAATGCTACAGAATGAGTATTTTCGACAGGACCCCAAGCCGAAACCAGAGAGTATGTTCCCCACGTTCCCGAGCAAAGCGAACCAGGAGCGTCGTAGACGCGTAGAGCCTCATGCGCCTGTGCGTGGTGGACAGGCGGCTTCGCTCGGCGACGCTGACTTCAGTGGCATATTTCAAGGGCGGGATAAGGAAGAAAGGGGGGCAGGGTTTCAATTGCGTATGATTTAAGATGCAAGCACGTAGCGGTTGCTTGAATAGGAGTGCTGGATTGCAAGTTGTAGGGGAAACTACCTGCGCATCCCATTTGTATACCCAATATATTAGTAGGTACCTAGTACTCCAGGAAGATTAAAATTCATTTCGCCTACGACAAACCGTCACAACATATAGTAATGCATTTATGAACAAAAAAGCTTGTGGCTATAAAACAAAGGGTACGGGTTCAATTCTGCCGAAAGAAAATGAAAACGAAAAAAGAAGCTTGCTGTTGTCGGTTTCAAAGAACCGACGAGATTAAGACGTATATAATAGACTGAATCATCAAATGATCTCAACTCCCATCGACTTGGACCACTGTATCATAAAGTATTCAAAACTAAGGCTTCTTCAAGGTGACTTCACCAGAAGGACATCCATCTAGTAACGCCCTCACTAAACTGCAACATATCCGAACAACCAAGAACAATAGACAATAAACAATCTTTCCCCATCAGATGCTTGCCTGGCCGTAAACACCTCCAAAATTAACTCCGAAGAACAAGTATTGGAAATTAGTTGTTGCAGATATCACAGTTCCACTGAGGGTAGGGTGTGTAGGCGGCGGGGGTGTACATGCCAAACTGGAAGGTCTTCTGTACCGCCAGGTAGCCGGGAGAGGGCACATCGCTAATCGCAGAGTCGGAATCCTTGATGATAAGAGTGTACATACCAACAGGGAGAGGGGCCTCAGGGTCGTTGGCTTCTTTGCTGGTATCCCAGACGTAGGTGGGGTTCGTCTCGAAAGTCATGTTGGCCGTAAGAGTGTATGTTTCGCCGGCGGAAGATTGACTGACGAGCACATCGATTGCAGTAGGTGTGCCCTCGAGAGAGGTGTAATTCCAGCCGAAGGTGGCATAGTCACCGATCTTGATAAGTGGTGTAGGCACGTACATAGTGTCGGGCAAGGTCATGCTCAAACCGCCGGGTTGCACATCAGCAGAGAAAGTCGTGCGTTTGGGTGCAGAGGTGCCAGTCTTGGTGCCAGACTTTTTCTTCCCAGTCTCCTTTCCGGTCTCTGTAGAATCTTCCTCCGTGGCGGTACCGGTTTCGGTTCCAGTTTCGGTTCCAGTTTCGACTTTGGCTGTGTTCAGGTTGGTTTGCTTGGGGCTTTTCTTGGTGCTCGTGGCCTCCTCCTCTTCAGTCTTGGAATCTTGACGAGGCCTCAGAATAGCGGTTTCCTGGGGCACTATTGCATAACGTCAGTAAAAAGGGGCCCAAAGATTATGCGGAGAGCTGACATACAATCTTCCGGGACAACTCGTCGAACTACGACAGAATCAGCATTGGGAAACCAACTGGGCCACGCTGTGGCGAGAGGTGCGAGCGCGGAAAGGCAGACGGCCAGCTGAAAGATATTGGAGGTAGGACGCATGATGAATTCGTTGACGGTTCGATGTTTGTAAGATGTGACAAGAAAAGGGGTCGAGAGGAAGCCAGAAAACGACGGCGGTGATTTCGGGCGACGATCGACCGACAGAGTCGTGTCTTCTTGTAGACGACGACGGTGTTCTGTTGACTATGTTGGATGTATGAAATTTTCTTTCGAGTGATATAAGATACTTGGATTGTCAATGATGCCGAGCGTGCCCAAGTCGATAAGAGCGAGTGAGCGAAGGGTAGGACGGGTAGGACAGCGAATGTCAGGTGAGAGAGTCGGTCGAAGCGAGAGACAACAAAACGATGGAAATGACGGTGCGTTACGAGTCTCAAAAATAGTGAAGTTGATCAATCTTCTAGGCGTTAACGAGAGGAAAGGCGAGAGGTGGACAAGAAATCAACACGACAGGAGCAAAAACGAGAGAACAAGGGAAAGCGTTGGCGTTATGTTGGGTTGGCCCAGCGGACAGGGAACAGGGGGTTGGTCATTTCCTCCCATTGGCACATGCTGAAGAGTACGTATCTCTCCAGCTACAGTACCAGGTACTGTATCCGTACAGTGAGGTACTGTACTAAGATACTGGTAAGTACTTTACCTAATCATTTCCATCCTGTTAAAGCGGCCAAAACATGAAGAGATCTTTTCATTGGGTGGGGCTGGGCTGGGCTGGGCTGTAGCCACCCGTTGGAGCTCCACCTCATGCTACGAGAGGCCTTCCCGGTGGTGTGCAATCCACCAAGGTTGAGGTCCTCTGTCCTCATCTATACAGCCCGCTTCGGGAACCCGATGGTTTCTAGTGTCAGATAACCTGTCGCGTTGACAGAACTGGAAAAGTTCCATCTCGATAATTCTCTGCGCATGTATGTGGTTTATATGGTTTATGTCGTCGCCAAGGGTTGTTTTCCTGTACTTGTTCCAGAATGAATGAATAAGAGACTCCCTTAGATCGGGCTACGGATCCATGATAGGTACCTAGGTACTGTATTACTGTACCTTCTACTAATTACCTACTGGATGCTACCTATCACCTGATCTCGTGTTCAACGGTTTCCACCTAAAAATAACAACAGCCCCCTACTGTACAGATACGGAGTCCCCTAAGGTCTAAGCTCACCCACTATTCTCGGCAATCATGCACTAGGGTACCTAAATAAAGATCCGTAATGGATCAAAACGCTACATAGTAGATCCATTGGATCCTCATGAGGTTGTCCCATGACACTGTGCTTGTCACTGATGGAAAGCTTCTTGCTGATATCCTTTGCGGTAAATCATCACAATCTAGGTAGTGCCTAGGTATGTAAAAGGAGAAATCCGTTATTCTTTAGGTAATGGATGTAGCTCTGTCTCTTTAACACTCGACCTATGCTAGCCCAGGTCCAAAACATCCATGTCTGTGCCTGACGGTGGTGTCTCGAATTGTACCTACCTTATGTACGTGCGGAGCAGCACAGGTGGATACGCGTGGTATTGACTGACCTTATATATCAGACGTTTACGTTGCCGCTTTAGCCTCCAATATACAAAGTGCGTTTTCTCCATCACTTGCCCGTGGTTATGTCGTGCTACCTTTATTTTAACAATCAAAAGAAGTTACTATGCACACAGTAGCCTACTGCGAATAATCGACTGCGTTGCGGGTGAAACCCTGCTCTTATGGCGGGCTGCTTGCCGCTGTTTGTTTATATCCTGATTTCGGCTGCGCTGATGCTGCCTAGTCTATCAGGCAGGCCAATAAAACGGATGGAAATCAAATAGAGCGTGCCGATATCCTAACAAAGCCAGACTATTTCAAGCTTGAAAGGTAGTATATACTCCAATTGAGTTCTCGTGGTAAAGGTTCAATCCATCGGCTGATACACATCGAGTCACATCATTAACGTTGGATCGCGCAAGATGTGCAGCCAACCATGCGAATTGGATCGGCTTCACTATTTGATTTGTATTATGTCTCTGACGCCTGCAGCCGAATGACGGGAGGGTTGCGTATAGGTAAGCAGGTAATCCCTAGGTGGGAAGTCATCGACGAGGCTCGCAGTTGCCAGCAGCGGCACGTGAATCTATCTGCCTGTTGGTTCGCCCCTACCTAGAGGTACCTGCCTTACCTGTGAAATAGGTAGCTCTCCTGCCCAGGTTAATGAGGTTGTCGCAAACGCGTGGAAGCTCTTTCCCTGTAGAATCGCCAATGCAATGTTTGCGTCCCCCACGTCCTCTATTTCATTCTTCTGTTTCGCTCTTCCAACTTTCTCTTCCTCAATTGTGGGTGCTAGGTCAGGATAGAGATACCCTCCTGAGGCTCCAGGACTGCCAGAATGAATCTTACGCAGTAAGTACTTACATCCTAAATTAGATATACCAGTTGTGTTGATACTTGGCTTAGTTCTAACTCTACATACTCATAGGAATCAAACCGTATGCATTCTTTATCTACATGCGCCAAACCTGACGCAGGAGGCAAACAAGCAAACGGCACCTGTGAAGCCGAACATGCTGATATTTGTTTTAGGATCTCGAATCGCCGGTAAACAGATCCCAATGCGTTTATATCCCCCAAGAAGAGTACAGCAGTCTCCTTGCAGCCGCGCATCAGTATAGTATGTTGTGCTACGAGCAGGTGAAATTTGTCCTCAATAGAACCCTTCCTAACCTTTGTTCTGTCAGTGTATCTACGTCAGAACCTCATGCAGTATGGGTTTGACGATGCCACTTTGGACGTACGTTGCAGCCTCCTCCTACGCACATCATCTCTGATTTGGCTGCAGGTACTATGTCAACCAACTCCGAATCAAGATGTCCAGTCTCACGCAAGCGAGCGTGGCAGTAATTCTATTCAAGCACTTATCTATCAGGACCAACCAAGTACCGCTTTCGGGGGTCCTAAGAAAAGCTGGGTTTCAAAGGGAATAAGGATTTCCACCGCGATGCTATGGCTTGGTCTTCTAACCATGAAGGTAAAGTGTTAGGCGAACAGCGCCATCATTCTATTCGACAGGACAGTCGGTCTGAAACCAGCCGTTGGGTAGAGAGCTCCGCTCAGAGGTCAGTTCAGCTTCTGAATTTGATTCCTGGCGTTACCCATGGCGACATTGCTGCAATTGTTCGTGGCGGACCTCTTCTGGAGATCTTTCTCCGGGCCAGAGACAACACTGCCACAGTCTCGTTCGTACGGGAAAGCGATGCAGTCGCCTTCTTCGACCATACTCAGACTCATGGTTTGTACTTCAAGGACCGCAAAGTAGGTTGAGGAAGTGGACTACTCAGCTTCTATTCTAACAAATATTTCTAGATACATACCAAGTGGTCCAGCTACCAGTACGTTGTAAAAGGCCAAGTCGCCTATCACGTAGTCAGAGGAGCCTCTCGAAATTTTGTCATTCGCAAGCGGGATCCCAACACTACTACCCAGAGCCTTCGCGATGACCTCGACCATATCCACAACCTTCATGTCATAGGTATCGAATTCGACAAGGATAACTGTTTTGTCAACACCAGCTCGATTAATGCTGCTATCTTTGCTCGAAATTGTCTTCTCAGCCGCTCGTAAGTTGGATTGCCAAAGCTCGGATTGTTACGATTCAATTTATATTAATCTATGACATGACAGGGAGTACAAGAATTCTCGCATCGAATGGGTCGCAGATGAGTGCGCTCAACCTCTGGAGAGCTTGCCGTTCAGTGCCAAGCCTGCTCCTCCAGCTTCTCTTGTAAAAGAGCAGAACCACTCAGCATCTGCTCTGCCGTCGCGCAGAAACCTCAGGGGTAACCGGTTCCAACTCCTCGATCTAAGCGATACCGACGGGAGTAATGGCGATGATTCTTCAGATGATTGTATCTGAGTGACACACATAGCCCTACTCGCACTTCATCTGATTCCTATACCAAGACTGCCACATACAAACGCCTGGAAGCGAAAACGAAGAGAAGAACAATGTCAGCCGTAGATATCAGAACACCGGGTATGACCAATGATACTGCAGTTATTTGATGATAGAGCATTGCTATGAACTGTGAAACTCGCGTGCATCAAGCCAAACTCCCGCAGTACGTGATTCTTGAATGTTCTCTGTCTACTTATCTCTATTCTCATTCGCCGAACTCAGTCTAGCCAACTCAATAGCTGTTTCTTTATGCGGTGGGCAAGCAGCACAACAAGAAAACATCTAATTGAGAGCAGAATTATGCTTGGGTTAATGGTGCTTCTTGCCCAGCACAGGGCTACGCAGGTATGCTGAAAGGCAGGACACTATCATGTAAAAAATTCAAACTGATGAATGCCAAATCTGGCCTAATTGTTGCTTAGCATCTAAGTAACTAGCTAACTGACTGACTAAACCATAGTGTCCCAGACAAGGCTCCGTCGCGATGCTCCTCAGATCCTAATGATATCAAATCGTACAAGTAAATCACGTTTCCAAAACCTTTCAATGATTGGCATTTTTTGTGACGGACTGCAAATAATCCAGCAAAAAGGTGCGCTCAGCAGGTGAGATAGGCGTTTGGCTACCGCGGCGAGACGGTGGACCAGCAGGATCCTCCACGCCAGAAGCCAAAGAAGCAAGACGAGACCTGGGCGTTCCGGCAATGGCCTCCTTGCCCTTGGCTGCCTCCAAACTAGCAGGAGATGGCTGTTTCCCAAAAAGTGAAAGTAGCTCTCGCTTTTGGGCGGGGCCAGATTCGCGACGTCGATTCTGGGCAGGAAATGCTTGAGCAATGCTGGGGCTGACACCACCACCTGCAAGCTGTAGGTGGGCAGACAATCCACTTGGGGAAGTAAAAGAAGCTTGGGGAGACGCCGACGCGCCGCTGACACCAAGGAGCTGATCTGCTTGTCCTCGTTGGAGAATTCGAATAGGTTGAGTAGACTGCGAGGCGGCTGGTCCATGTGCCTGAGCGCCATACTGCGCAAAATCCATCCTTCCTTGAGAGTTGGGCGTACCAGTTTGATCAGGTCGTGAGTGTAGGGATAGACTCTCCAAAGACACGGGAAGGTTAGTGTCTGTATTGACTTGCGAAGAGATTGGAGTCCTCGCATTGTCTCCCCCAGCAGATCGCATAAGTTCGCTCATCATACTGCCCGGAGCAGCTTGTGCAGTAATTTGAGGCGATCGAGAAGGACGCTGGTTTTGGTCATCCTTACGGAACATACCCAACAAGGCCGAGCGGTGGTTGTCTGCAGGAGGTCCCACCTTTGAACCCGGTAGCTCTTTAGGACTTGGCCCAGTACGTTCTTGACTTCCAGCAACTGCCCCTGTCTGTGGAGCGCTCGGAAGAGGCACTTGTTGTTGTGCTTGGTTCCCACCAATGCTGTTGTGTGTAGAACTTTGGTTCTGTGCTGGAAAGCCAGGAGAGAATGGCGTGTGCTGAGACTGTAACCCTCCATTGCCGCCCTTGAACGCATTTAGGAGAGCCATCGACTGGCCATTGAGCTGCTGCTGTTGCCTTGGCTGCCCATTTGGATTGAGAGCCTGTGGGGGCATCTGACTGGTCTGTCCATATTGTGTTTGCTGTTGATTGATGAATTGGCCAGGCACAGAATTGTAATTGGTTTGGTTGACGTCTTGGAACACGCTCCTGTTGAAGACAGCTCTTTCTACCTGAGGGGGTAGGGGCTGGGGATGAACTAACGGGGCCTGGTTACTTTTGTATTGGCCTTCTTGCATGGAGTATTGATCGTTATACTGAGGATGGTTGCAGGCCGGCTGTCCAGGAGCAACGCTCCACTGAGCAGATTGGTTCGGCGGATAGGGAAATGGTGGCGGGGGTTGTTGAGTACCGACAGACGACAACTGGGGGTAATTGTGGTGGTGTGGTGTATGAGGCTGAGGTGCTGTCTGGGCTGTTAGATCCAGAGGAGTATGCGCATATTGAACGCCAGGCTGAGGCAGACCACCTGAGGGACCATCCTTTGCTTGGAGAATGGAAAGTAAGGCACTGCCCTTATCTTGTTGGACAGGGGCAGGAGCGCCTTGCAAACCTTGGGTCGGAGGCTGGACCTTCAACAATCGCTGCAGTTCCTGTGTCGCGCCAGCAAGTGTCTCGATTGCTGGCCCCTGGTCCGTAGTTTCGGCACCGTTGTCCGTTTTCCAGGCTTCATCCTCATACGGCGCTTCGGTGATAGGCCCATAAGCGTGGGGGCCTGTCGCTGCTCTTCGTGCTTCCATCTTTTTCTGCGACGTAACCCATTTCTTCAAGGGCACCAAAAAAGGGGCAACCATATAAAACTTGTTGGCGTTGGGAGTAGCAATCGCATCGTTTGACTGGCCATTTTTGCGACGGAAAGCTGGCAATTCTGATAGTTTGTACCATTGAATTTTGCTGATTTCCTTGCGGGTTTTTGGTTCAAATACTGTGTCCATTGGAACATCACGAAATACGTAAAGCCTCATATGCTGTTCGCGCATCGAAATCTCAATGTACTTGGGTTTGTGTTCGGTCGGTACTAAGCCGGCAGCTCGAAGATCCAGGCCGGTCTCTTCATAGACTTCCCGAATAGCGCAATCCAGATCGTCTTCGTCCTTGTTAATCTTTCCTCGCGGAAAACTCCAGTTGGCGCCTTTCTTCCACCCCTTGACCAGGACTGTCGAGTCCATGGCCTCGTTCAGCATAATAGCGCCTCGCACTGGGACGCGAGTTTTGTACTCTAGAAATTCCTCAAACGCTTTGGTATGGTTCTCAACGGAAAAATTGGCCAATAAGGGGCAATGCTGGAAAATTCGAAGACAAAAAGTACGTAGCGTCATGGACGGCAGAGTCGGGTCCAGAGGACGAATGAAATCCTCGTAGAACCACTGAGCTTCCTCGACCTGGAAGCATATTCGAGCAACGGAGGAGAGATCCTCCTGGGGAAGGTTGATGATGAAGCGGACGCAGAGATCGTCCAGCCCTATGTCGGTTGTGTTAGTCCTTGCTCGCGATTGCGCAGCCCATTGGCACAGCACATACAATCCTCTAACTGCATTTGTGTTCCAGACATGATTGCAGAATCCTTCGGCTCATGCTCTTGTGAAAATGCGATGATTTCGGTTATTGTATCTTGTCTTCTTCTTCTTTCTTCTTCTTTAGTTTTGTGGCTCTTTGTTTGTTGCCTCCTAAGACTTTGCAAGACGATAATGCGAACGAAGCTGCGAGGGCAAGCTGACCATGGTTGAGGTGCGACAACCAAGATGACGCAAAGAGACGGCTGCGACAGGCGAAAAAACGGGAGCGGTCACTTGATCCGAGTCAACAGGAAGCTTCGCTTCGCAGTGAATGAGTGAGCTACAACGTCTCTTTTTGACACGCGGGGTCGAAGCGGCAGTGCAATGTTCGAATGTGGTCAATTTTGAATGTGATTTGTTGGTGTTGTTTTTGTCGAGTTTGACAGCATCGCAATCAGACAAGACAGACCCATATCTTAGTACCCAAGGTACCCGACCTGATTCGCGCCTCAGGTACCTGTACTGGTTGGTACCTTACCCCTCTAGGTAGCTCAGCTCTCCAGCTACTTCACGAGCCCCTAATGACGGGCTCGGACCCAATTCCGAACACCCACAGTACAGTACTATAGGTAGATACAGGCATGGAGTGGGCTGGTCTCAGCCACATGAGGCCAACACAGCTCGCCACGAATGGACTCATCTATTGTGGCGGTGCATATATAGACTTGCATGATCATGAGCTACCTACTGTACGGATATCGTTCCGGAGCTCGGACGAGTCAATACAGGACATACTACTGTACCTGGAGGCAGTACTCGGTAAACCCTTATTCTGCGACAGGCTCCCTCCCATGTTGATTACGTATGTTTCAAATTGTTTGGATTGCCACCGTAATACATTGGCTGCCATCAACCAGCAAGACTTGGAGCATCAAAATAAGACAGTCTAATTTATTCTTCGTCTTAGGCACTCAGTGGCTAATTTTTCTGATGCCCTGATGTTCAGGCAAAGTACTGTACAGACCTGTCTACCAGCTCATGGTAGGGATCGGCATTGCTGTGTCTGTACGGAGTACAGCGGCGGTCCAACAGGTTTTGTTGAGCTTTGGCCGTGTGGCTCGTGAATTAATGCTTCCAGCCCGGTCGCCAGAATTACATCATCGTTTAAGAACCAAACGGGCAAGCCTCACCCACCTGACGTTACTTGCCTGCCAGCTAGCACCTCCCTACGTATCATATGCACCATGCAACGGATGGCTGGTCATCATAATATCCATCCTTGGGAAAAGGAAGAAAGAAAAAAAAAAAAAACAGGTAATTCATCTGACGCAAAATAGGTATACCTCCACGCCTACCTACCTAAGTACTAATCTTCCCACTCAATAACTCAAAACGCAAAAGCTGGTCCACCGTCATATAAAGAAAGGCGTCTTCTCAGTCTTGGCCTGCCTACTTTTGTCTCGGAATTTTAAACAGTGACATTCTCGACAGTGGTATTTCCCATTATCAACCCTTACCGCTGCCAAGCTCGACCACGGCGATACTAAACAATACAATAACCTTTCCTTGAGCCGCTTAGCGACTGCTGTCAACGATCCAAGCCGTCCTAGCGATTTAGAAATGACTTCGATTATCACAAAGCTTGTCACCAAGAAGATCTTGGGAGAGACTGTCGCGAACAAATTCGGCACTGAGGTACGAAGCATTAAATTGTTACATCACTCGGACCATTGTGGCTCACCCTAACCGCAGGATCCTTACTTTGAACATATTCCAGCGACTCGCCTGGATGGAACACCCAACGGCAAAGTGAAGAAGCGCAAGAAGGCCCTCCCTCCAGGCATTACCGACCATGATGCCAAGATCTTGAACAAGGTCAAACGCCGAGCTTATCGACTGGATTTATGTCTCTTCAGTTGCTTCGGCATTCGTTTCGGCTGGGGCAGCGTTATAGGACTGGTTCCTGCGTAAGTTAAATTCCATTGTCGGTTCTTGGTTGTTTAATCCATACTGACATATCGCCCATAGTATCGGTGACGTTTTAGACATGTTGCTTGCGCTTCTCGTAATGAGGACCTGTATGAAGGTTGATGGCGGACTACCTACCTCGGTCAAGGGTAAAATGATGTTCAATGTCTTGATCGATTTCGTTGTTGGACTTGTCCCTTTTGCTGGCGACTTAGTTGATGCAGCATACAAGTGCAACACTCGCAATGCTGCGTTGCTCGAGTCTCACCTACGAGAAGAAGGGCGCAAGAACCTCAAGAAGAGTGGTTTGCCGGTACCGGCCGTTGATCCTAGCAACCCTGATGAATTTGATCGACTTCAAGCGCAGAATCCGCCCGAGTACGTTTCAAACCCACCATCTCGGAATCCATCTATGTCGGAGCGTCGTCAACATAGCCGCAGCCGCAGCCGAGATCGCCGTCGCGAAGACCGCCCTGCTGAGCCGGCACCTGTACGGGTTCGCGAGAGTCGCGGATTCTTCGGTCGCAGCAGGGCTCGTCCCAATGACATGGAGACAGGAGAAGCTGAGCGTGTATCTCGACGCCAAAGATCGCCGCGCGGGGAGCGACACTGAACCCAGCAGTTCGGATTTACTATCGATACATGGGAAGGGAGCGGAGCGGAGAGGATGAGGGCCAGCTAGGGAGAATGGCAAACGTTTCTGAGTCAGGACTGTTCATTATAAGTCGCAGTCTTGGTGGTGCATTGACATTTGCGGGATCGGAGCATGGGGTCTTGTTTTTAATCATGATGTTATCTATGAATTCTAAGACTGATATTTGATCGGCTCCATGACCTTGCCCGATTGATTAGGTGCCTACTGTACCTAGACGAGGTGGGTACGGCTGTACATGAGGCTAGTGGATCCTCGAATCAAACTAGAGAGAGGGATCAGATAAGCCTGCTTGGCATTTCTATTGACGGAGCAACACAAGGCAGGGAGGGAATTGAAAGAAGGAACAAAGCTTCTGATGCATGCTCCGATCTAGGGATCTGACATGTTTCGCTTTGAACGAGGTCCATCCTACGACTCATTCGTTCTAGCTGAAACTAATGCCTGATTTACAGTGGTCATAACTTCAATAGTAATAGTCAGGCATGCAAAAGGGGTAGGTATGGGTATGAACGTTAGGTCCAGGACGCGATGTGTATCCCTAGGAAGGCGTGAATGAGGAGGAGATCGCCAGAGGATGAGCAGCAGTCAATGACTGTCGTTGAAAGATCATTGAATGCACAAAACAGCTGCATATCAAGTATCATACTCAACCATCATGATACCCTCCCATCAGATGAGCTCAGTTGGGTCCCGTCTCGCACCACCATGATCCGTACCATACCATACCACAACTGTCTGTAATCTCGCATGTATTGGCCTAACAACATAGGAGAAAGCATGAATGCCAGGATGGAGACACGGATATCCGTACGGAGGTACGCTTTACAGTTTTCTAGAGCCCTCAAACTGGTAGATGACGTTAACCCTGACAAAGCCTGAATCATCGCTCCCTGCCATGGAGTAGGTACCGTAGGGATGGTGGAGTAATAGAGCAAAAAAACGTAAAGTATAGTAATTGAGCCATGCCAAAGACGAACGTGAACCCGCTCTAAACGCGTCTCTACGCGTCTCACTTGCTTAAACGATCCTGGTGGCTGGATATTCTCATGGTACCAGCTCCAGCGCTAGCGTCTTGGATGCGCCGAAATGTCCCTGGTTCACCCAGTGACGCGCAGTGACTTCCCAACTCTGTAAAGTGGTCCACTATTGAGGTATCCACCGCGTATTGCCCAGCGCGACGCGCTCGGTTCCACGTGACAGCGCATCCAGGCTTATACAAAAGCCCATCGCCTTCATCCCATTCTTTACTTTGGACCAGACCATCACCACCGCAACCATCCCCCTCAACACCAAGATCTCAACACAAACACAAAGCCTTTGTCTAGTTTTCGCATTGTTCAGATCGTCTCTCATCTTGTTTCCTCGTTCTGACACCCATATACAACGCAATGGCCTCGCAAATGACTCCTTCGAAGCAGGTATGTGACGTCGTTCGTGCTTGCGCTGCAATCTGCATACGTGCGGCCTGGATCCCGAATCATTGCTAATGGTCTTCTTTAACAGGCTGCCTCCGCGATTGAGAACTTCAACATGGAATCCCCCGTTAAGAAACTTGACTTTGGTGCCGCCAACAAGGAAAACGAGCCTCTGAGCAACACCAAAGAAACCAACGAGCTCAAGACGAAAGCTGTCGAGGAGATCAAGAAGGACGACTCCAAGGTCTCTGTTGCCCCCGGTATTAAGGCTGAGGAAGCCGATGAACCCCTCCTTCAAGAGAACCCCCAGCGTTTTGTTCTCTTCCCCATCAAGTACCATGAGGTAAGTGACGCGTTTTGACGCGTAAAGTGGTTCCCCACTAGGTTGTATACTAACAAGTAGTTGCAGATCTGGCAAATGTATAAGAAGGCTGAGGCTTCCTTCTGGACCGCTGAGGAGATTGATCTCTCCAAGGATCTCCACGATTGGAACAACCGCCTTACTGCTGACGAGCAATTCTTCATCTCCCACATCCTTGCTTTCTTCGCTGCCTCCGATGGTATCGTCAACGAGAACCTTGTTGAGCGATTCAGCGGCGAGGTTCAGATCCCTGAAGCCCGATGCTTCTACGGTTTCCAGATCATGATGGAGAACATCCACTCCGAGACATACTCCCTCCTCATCGATACCTACATCAAGGAGCCTGCCCAGCGCACCTACCTCTTCAACGCCGTTGACACCATTCCCTGCATCAGAAAGAAGGCTGATTGGGCTATCCGATGGATTCAGGACAAGAACTCTTCCTTTGCCCAACGTCTCGTCGCCTTCGCTGCCGTTGAGGGTATCTTCTTCAGTGGTGCCTTCGCTTCTATCTTCTGGCTTAAGAAGCGTGGACTCATGCCTGGTCTGACTTTCTCCAACGAGCTTATCTCTCGTGACGAGGGTCTGCACACTGACTTTGCCTGCCTCCTTCACTCTCACCTCAAGGGACGTGCTAGCAAGCAGATGATCCAGGACATCATCACTGATGCCGTTACCATTGAGCAAGAATTCCTCACTGAGGCTCTCCCTTGTGCTCTGCTCGGCATGAACTCCAACCTCATGAAGCAATACATTGAGTTCGTTGCTGACCGACTGCTCGTCGCTCTTGGTAACGAGAAGGTCTACAAGGCCACTAACCCCTTCGACTTCATGGAGAACATTTCCCTTGGCGGCAAGACCAACTTCTTTGAGAAGCGTGTGGCCGACTACCAGAAAGCCGGTGTTCTCCACAGTGCCAGCAAGAAGGCCGACGAGGAGGAGTCGCCCAAGGGCGAAAACGGCGGCGACTTCACCTTTGACGATGACTTCTAAGCGTCCCGTATCGTCGTTTTCCTTTACTTTTGGCCTGGGCAGTTGCTCGCGGGCATGAACATATGAACATATACCCTGTTTTACTTCTTGTTTGTACATTTGAGATGAGTCTCGGGGCAGCGATGCTTGGTTAATTACACGGTTGGCAAGATCGCGATTATACTTGGATCTGGATGATGAGTGGGTATGGATCGACATGGCGTTTCGGGTATTTAAATTGGGTGGACGAAAACAGCATTGACGGATTAATCCTACTTATGGATGATGATATTATAGTACTGTCGTAGATAGAGATGAATTTATTAGATTAGTATATACTTGGTTCCTCTTGTGTGTGACTTGTCAATTGCGCTCGCATTGCTGTTCACTTCCGCCCTCCTCACATTTGTTTCGAGATAACCTCTCATGTATCTACCCTTCCATCATTTCTATGGTTTGTTGGCCTTCGCTAAGTCCGTTTCGAATGTCAAATTGAGATGTCGTAATTTAGGAGAATGTGTCCAAACATGCAACGTTGACGCCTTATGCTTCGGTGGTATTGACTCCAAATTTCTTCCTCGCAACCGCCAGGCTTCAATTACAAAGACCCCTTCCGTTGAGCTCTCTCTTCATCTTCATCTTCAAACCCATGCGCCCTATTTCTTGCCCTTCTTCTTCTTCTTCCCACCACCGCCACCCCCTTGAGCTGTCTGCGGTGTTGGCGTAGGAGCCTGTGACTCCTCCACGCCCTCAGCTTCTGCCATCGTCACCTCGGGCACATCCGGGACCGCAGCTTGACTTCTCCCAAGGCGACCTAGCGAGGCGTGGATGAGGCGAGTCACCTCTTGCGCCTTTGTAGTGCGATACTTGATGGTGACTCCGCTGACGGGGTCGAATGCCTTGAGGACCAGAGCGCCACGCGGGGGCTTTGCCACAGGTGTATCGCCGTCAGCATCAGGTCGTGTTGGGCCAGGCTTGAGCTTGTATGATGTGGTGATGTGTGTCTGCGGTGGTCAGTTAGTCGCTTGGACAAGTACGAGGTTGACGCGAGGACGTACGGTTGAAGGACGGGCTTCGAGAAGTGCCATGGATTGGTCAAGCCATTCTTGACTTGTCTTGAGATACACCATGTTGACGAGTTTTGTATGATATCGTTCGGCGTATCGAAGCTAAGTTGCGTGTGTGCCTGCCCGTTGCGGCTCGGAAAAGTCGGTGCGCAACTGTTGCACACTTCCCCTACTGACAAGAGAGGATCTATGCTACAATTCTCCGTGGCGCGATGTCGATTGCGATGTGGACGGTCGGGCTTTGATGTCTGTAGAGAAGATGTCGTTTGAGGTCTGGGTGTGGAGAGTTGAATGCGATTGAGTTGAGAGGTGGGATAATCTATCTGAGGGTGGGGTGGGGCTCAGTGAGGGGAGGCTTATCGGCGCCACGACACCAAAAAAATATAGGTTAAGCTGTATCTGCCGACTTTAATATGACTTCATTTTAGTAGGTAGGTAGTACATGTGGGTAGCCAAGGCACAATTCATTCAATCTCTTTCAGTCTGCTACGAGCTCTAGAATGTCCTCTGAAACCTTGACACCAGCCAGTTGGGGACTTGCTCCGTTTCTTATCAAGACTTGACCAATATCTAATCGTCCTTTCCTGACATAATGCCACAAAGGTGGATGCCCGTCGACAATCCTATCGAAATACTTGATCTCCTTGCAGATTTTTTCTGCCATATCAACCTCTTCTTTGGCATATCGGGGGTTACTGTCGTATGTTGTAAGATTCATGATCGGGAGTTGATCGCCGTCTTTCTTGGTAAGGTTTTGGTCAGATATTTGTTTGACACCAGCTTCGGCTTTGAATGCTAGAAGCTTGTTAACAACACAGTGGTTCTGACTTAATCTTAAAGCATCCGCAAGTAGGAGCCTCTTCTCGTTTGTCACGGTGCTGATTGGGTTTGGTGAAGCACCGGCGTCCAGAAGAAGTTGTACGACTTCAGTGTACCGTGTTTGTATGGCCACGAGTAGGGGGCTGACTCTGGTGATTCTATTTGCATAGATATCCGCATGGGTATTCAGGATGAGATACCGGATTGCACCGAGCTGGTCTTGACGAGTGTCCAGTGGGTTGAGAGCACCGTTACCTCGAGTTACATTGAACTCCCTTTGCCAGTCGCCTTGGTTCCTTGGGCCCCAGGATATGAGGTGACACAATGCCGTCTCATCTGTACCATGAGTCACATCTATGTTTGCTCCCTTTTCGATAAGAAACTTGACCTTGGTTGCCCGGCATGTTAGCACTTTGGCGTATAACGGTTTCAACTTGTTGGGCAACTTACCACGTCTTCGTTCAATGAATAAGCCAAAGGTGGAAGACTCTTTCCATCTGGAGCATCCGGGTGAACGCCGTTTTCTATGAGCAACTCTAGTTGGACCACCAAAAGCAGTAGCTACCTTAGGACCTAAGGTGGTTTATCTTGGTGTATAGCAGTCTAACAACTCTGCAATTGCTGTATTGCCACGCAAACATGACAAGTGTAAGAGGCCGCTTCTACTCCCCCAATGCAAATATCCATAAGCCGGACCCGAAAGACCTTTCTTCCTTACCGTTTTGTAGCGTAAGCTGTAAAGGTCATCATTCCTAAAAGGTTGATTAAGTTTCCGCTTGACGTTCACGCCAGCCCTCTGCAAACCTATCAACGACATTTTTACTCCTTCCAACACCCCAAACCAGCAGGCCCATTGAAGGCCTAAAGGCATATTCAAGTCAAAACCGAGTCTCAGTGAGTCTCTAACATCTTTGAGGTAGAGCTGAGACAGTGCGTGGCTACAAAGTTCTTTGCATGTCTGCGCCAAATTAAGGAGATTCTTGTAAGATTCCGGGAGCAATGAGACTTCTTCCATTATAAGATTCTTGACCTCGGTAGGTAGCTCTATATCGTCATTAGCATAGGTAGGTTGGTACGGAACAATGGATGACTAGTCAGACGAATTGAATGACTGACCTTGGAAATGCCAAGATGCTTTGCCGTGACCATATGTGGCGCTCATTTTGGCAGTTGATAGGTATAATGAATGAAATTGGATACAAATGTGTAGAGGGGAGAGGTTGATTGTACAGCGCTGATGTTCTCAATGTCTCCATCCATGGGAAGCACTTACCAACTTAGCAGGTGGGTATTTACGTTCCATGACTGATCTCCATAGAGGTACTTAGGAAGGCTCCATTGCATTGGGCGGCCAATGCTTGCATCCATCCATCCAACTTCCATGTCTGCCTACACCTAGGTACCTTACTAGCCTTAGTACCTTAGTACCTGGCACACGGTTACCTACAGCTATTTGTACCCACAGACGCATTTTGAGGCCAAAGCGCCAGGCAATGTATGCCTAGAATTCCATATCTAGATGGTTCAATCATGTTCGTACCTACTACTAATGGGAGGTAATGACCTAGGTACATGTCTACCTGGGTGCCTACACTGTATTCATGTTGCTGATAATACGGATTCGCTGGTCAAAATTTGCATCTCAGCGTCTACCTACCCATGACTTGAGTCATACAACAGCATAAGGCCAGGGTCCATCGTTTACTCATGCAATCCAAGAATGCTTTGTTTCATTGCTCGTCTTCTGTCCCCCAACATTTTCTCTCAACGCTTCTACGTCAACGATGGATTATGCAACTTTACCTACGCATGAGGATCGGGTAGCCAAAATAAGAGCTCCTGGTCAGCCGTGGCGAAGAAATTGTACCGTGGGTTGAAAGCTAGGACAGCAGCCTCTCTCTTATCAGGCAGCGTCCAGCTTGGTTCCAGCACTTTGTTATCGTCAGGAGCGGCCATGGTATCCCAGACCAAGACATCCTTCTTGGATCCGCTAAGGACATAACGACCGTCGGGAGCAAAACAGCACTCGCCGCTGCTCTCAACATTGGATGCGTCTGATGATGCACCACTAGCCTGTGCCGTCTCTCCGAGTGCCAATCGCCGGGTCCCGCCGTTTGGTTTGCGGAGATATGCCTTCAGCGTGCCCTCAAAGGCATCAAGGAGGAAATGGCCATTACCACGAGTCCCAACTAGTAATGATTTGCCGTCATTGGAGAACTCGAGTTTTGTCCACGCCTTGTTCAAGCATTGTGAGTCTACCTTCCTACACTGGTCCACAATATCAACCGTCGCAAAAGGAGCCTTGTCGTAGTTTCGTGCATCATAGAGTAGGACAGTGCCACTACTGATACAGGCCACTGCAAACACGGTCCCTGAAGGATCGTACGCAGCGAGATAGGGCGATCGAAGGAAAAGTTTGCCTTGGTAGTTTTTGGTCTGTGTGTCCCAAAGAAGCACAGTGTTGTCCTGGGAGCACGAGATAAAATTGTCGCTCCCAGGATGGACAGCCAGTGATGTTACAGGCCCCTCATGACCATCAAAGTACCGGATGAAGGAGTTGTCATGTGTAGCGAGATAACGGATAGCGTCTAAGGTGTGATGGTTAGCACATTTTCTACTTATTGCTCTTTGGCAACATGTGTCCTACCGTTTTGTTTTGTACTGGCGTAGATGATACTCGAATTTGTATGGGTAAACTTGGCAAGCTTGACACCGTATTTTTTACTGATCAAGCTCTTATCGTGGCGGCCTTCTTTGACATGGTAGATCTGTATCGTTTCGTCACTGGCTGAGGCCATAACGTACTCGCCTTCGTCGTCGTAGTCTAAGGACAGCACATGAGGCTGCGGGCGGTTGTCTTTAACGTCATCGCGGCGGAACAGCTACATTATCGGGCAATAAGTCAGTTTACATGATCACTTGCCATAGCTATCGTATCTGAGGTTCTGTGAGTTTACCTTGGTTGGCCGAAAATTGCCTATGACATCGGACAGATTTGAGACGGAAGCAGTAGTGCCAATGGTGCGGTGAATGTTAAGTGAGGCACCATTTGGCGTATTAGAGCGATCGATATCCATGGGCGTCGAAGACATTGTAAGCAGAGATGTGAAGTGGCTGTCTGAAGAGTGATGCCAGGGAGGTTGTGTATGATAGGAGCTCCGAGGCAAAGCCTTCCACAGGTTGGCGATCGCCAATTGCTTGGATCGCAAGAAGCTGGAAGTGATGAAGAGTCAGGTGGTTTAGCTGTTGTATGGCCTCGAGGCATATGAGAAGGTGGGTGGCCAAGTGGTTATGGGTGAAGGTGTTGTTGACCGCGACGATTCGGCTTGTAAGTTTTGATGTTTTGCGACAACCTGGAACACTAAAAGAAAATCGGCACGTAGATCTTTTGCCATGGAGCTCTTAGTACTAGGTAATTTAGGTATTAGGTACTGTCGTGGTAGCTGGAGGGGTGCACTTTTTGCGGGGTGCAGCGTGCCCATCTGGAGCCTTGAGGTGACTGCCCGACAACCTACCTGTAGGTACCTACCTTAGTACCTAAGGTCCTGTACCTATTAACCCAGGTGGAAGGTACAGTTCAGTCATCCTTTTTACCTTCTCGTACCTTGGGTAATATCTTATGTTCAGCATTGCTCTGACATAATCCTCTTACCTCAGGTGTACTATCACTATTTAACACCGAGTATTAATCCTTGAGCCGTCGGTATAATTAGATTCGGCAGCGGCATACAAACGCCCAGGCCGTAGCAAGCCGAAGACTGCTCCGTGAAAGAAAGAAGAATAGCAAGTGCCTACCCGTACCTAAGTTATCTACCTCTAGTAGGTAGGTACTAAGGTTAGAGAACGAATAGCGCAATTATGCTTTTAGCAAATCACATCGCTTGCTTAGGTAGCCTACATCGTCAACGGTTCTACGTAAGGTAGGTACCTAGGTATGTACTGACTGATGCAAAGACCCGCAACCCTCCCCGCCAAAAAAGAACGCCGACTTCGGGCGGCATTCATTTATTATGGATCCATAGGTAAGTAGGTTCAAGGTTGGATATTGAAATGAATAAATGCAGCGCAGCGACAACGACCTGCCTAGTATTGACGTACTGTACCCGTCCGCACGGGTAGTGCAGGGCCGTAGACACCCACACATCCATTACCTACAGTACCTAAGTAGGTAGGTAGTTATGCTTCTGTCTTTCAAAATACCATGCATAGATCATGCCAGCTTGTCGGGCATCTTGTTAGCTGCTGACCAAGGGTATTGAAGTTGATTAGCAGGTAGACGATCCTCCGAGTCAGATATTGGTGTTGTGTTAAGTCATGTAGCATGCCTACCAATGGTCTACAGTAATTACTAACCTACTAAGCTTCCATATATATACATGTTTCCTCTACCCTGACCCATACAATGGTTCCGTCCTTCTATCCATCTCATTACGTAGAAAAACTGGTACCTTTTTGGCGCCGTCGCCCCGGAAGTGGTACCTCACTTGTACTGGACGTTGACAATTTCTCGCGTCGCCATAGGTAGGGTCCGAAGCCGCTGTTGACCGATGAGAAGCCCTTCTTTTCCACGCTTCCAAATCTTGTTCTCAACAACTTTTTTATCTTCTCCGGGCGATCCATTCTTGATAGAAGCCCTGTCGCCCGAGCTATCCAACCCTATAGGGACCTTGTCGCGTTCCGGCTTTCTCTGTTTGTATTCAACCATCAATCTGCAACTAACGAGAGCTTGGGGCCATGTCGACCACCGTTGGGTAAGCTTTCTCAGCCTCTCATCCTTGTCCTTTGTATTCCCAGCATACCTAGAATTGTGTTCCCAGCCGCCTTCTTGCGCTGACTTTGTGACGATAGCGCCTTCATCGCCGGCGGCATCGCGGCTTGCGGCGCCGTTACCGCGACACATCCTTTTGAAACCGTCAAAATCCGGTAGGTTGAGCTTTTCAGCGCCTCGTAACTCAATACAAGCTGGTGTTTAACAGGTTTCCTTCTCTCAGAATGCAGTTGCAAGGCGAGCTTCAGAATAAGGGCCACCAGCCTCACCACTACAGAGGACCGATCCACGGCGTGAGCGTCATTGTGCGCAACGAGGGAGTTCGCAATATCTACCGCGGTATCGGTGCCGCCTATATTTACCAGATTCTCCTTAACGGCTGTCGTTTGGGCTTCTATGACCCCATGCGCAATGCGCTTGCGAAGTTCTTTTTCAAGGACGGGAACGCCCAAAACCTGGGCATTAACATGTTCTGCGGTGCGGCTTCAGGAGTTATCGGCGCCGCGGCTGGCAGCCCATTCTTCCTCGTGAAGACACGCCTTCAAAGCTTCTCGACATTTCGGCCGGTCGGTACTCAGCACCATTACACAGGCGCATGGCATGGTTTTAAGTCTATCTATGGGGCTGAAGGCATTGGTGGTCTCTACCGTGGTGTACAAGCTGCTATGATCCGAACTGCCTTCGGTAGCTCAGTCCAACTTCCCACATACTTCTTCGCGAAGCGTCGTCTAGTTCGCCATCTCGGTATGGAGGAGGGCCCCGGTCTGCATCTGGCTTCCAGCGCTATAAGTGGGTTTGTCGTCTGTTGTGTGATGCATCCTCCTGGTAAGATTCACCTCTCAACTATTACTGAGTCCAATTACTGATTTGCCTATGACAGATACGGTCATGTCCCGTATGTACAACCAAAACGGTAACCTCTACACCAGTGCTGCCGACTGTCTCGCAAAAACCATTCGTTCCGAGGGTATTTTAGCTTTATATAAGGGATTTTTCCCCCATCTCGCCCGAATCCTACCGCACACCATCCTTACTCTCAGCTTAGCCGAGCAGACTAACAAGCTCGTGCGTAAGATCGAAGGTCGTATCCTCCCTGGCAGACTGGACATGGCAACTTGAAAGTAAAATTGAACGGGGGCCAAGGTGAGTGGATGCACATAAATGGGCAGCGGAGCATGTGGCGTGCATAAATCTATGGGCAGCGGAGGGTCTTTTATTCGATGAAAGAAAGAACATATTTCAACTACACATATGGATGGCTACCTAGACAGGAGAGTAGGGCATATAACACCGCCCGGGTCATGGGTTTTCGGCAACCAAAAGGCGGCGTGGCGTACATGGGGAGTTCCAGTCATGATAGATAGCATGTTATGCAGAACATTGAACACTAACATATGTTCATTTGAGCACCTGTATGGAGACTCATATTCTACCCGTGAATCGACCGCTTACAGCCATAACATAGTCGGCCTGCACCGGCTGCACCAGGCCCGTTTCCAATATCGTCGCCTATCTCACCGGCCCAGCGTGAGTCGCCCTCGGCGTCAAGTGACATACCACAACTCCCGCAAAAGTTGTTGCCAGGAACTCGCTCCAGCTTACCAGTCGTGCGTACGACATTGGCAACGATACCAGAATATCCCTCTTCGACACTATCAAAATACCGTGTCATAACCTCTTCGATACTGAGGTCCTTATGAGAAACAACACTGTTTCCAGATCTGGAGCCTGACGAGCCGACAGGGACAGTTTCCTTGAGCGAGGGCACGAGATCGATGTATTGGTTCAGCTCGTTACGGAAGATCTCTCGCAGAGGGTAATAGATTGGGAAGTCGAGTCGGCTGGTCTCTTGTATGACGCCGCTTTCAACTTCTTTATATGTACACACGGTAGTCATACCATCAGCGACTTGGGTTGGAACTGCGAAACCTCGGCCGTTAGCAACCTCAGATAGCGTCAAAGCGGCGAGTGCCGTGGTGCTATGGCCCAGGAGGAGTGCTGAGCATGCGTGGTCTTGGGCTTTCTGCAGAAGCAGGTGACGGATGAGTTGGCGGAGAACGTCGGTACGTGATGTAAGTGTAGGTAAGGCCTCGAAAAGCTGCCGAAGTCGGGCAGATGGATCTTCGTCTGTTGTATCGGGTTCCAGGGGTAGAGTTGACCAGTCAATGCTCTTAACAGACATGACATCTTTGAGGGGCACACAGTCAAATGTTGCATGAGGGAACGCATGACGGTATTCGTTCAGCAGCTTTTGAGCAGGGGATTCATCTCCAGATCGTGATAGATCTGTATCGATGTGGATAATGATCGGTTCGAATGGCGAAGATGCTTTATTTTCGGAATGATGACGAGCCTGCTCGCTGAGTAACTGCGCAAGGACACTCGATGAAGTTCCAAAAGACAAGCCAGCCAGATACCTCCGAGTTGTGAGCGCCTTTGAAGAGCGAGTGTCTTTATGCAGGGCACCAAGACGCCTATTCAGTTTGTGTGCAACAAACTGAATATAACAGTCGCTGCGTCACTTGTCAGTATGAGTAGATTATTAGATTATGAGGTAGAAGCAGCAGTGGCTTACCGACATGTCGGATCTGTTCGTAGACGAAAGGCGGCGTCTTCAGCCTTGCATCTCTTACAAGGCCGGTTCATGTCCGATGCAAGCATCGGAATCGGAGGCGGAGTTGAAGAGGGATTCAGGATGGGACGGACGGGATCCAGGGTGGCTTGTACAGGGTAACTGTCAAGGCGCGGGGTTCGAGTATTGAGCAAAGAAGGCCGCTCTTTGCTGGTTGTGCAGTGCAATATGTGATTGCTCCTCAAATGGTCTGCGTTTAAATACCTAGGTGTTGATTTGTTTAAGGAACAAAAGTGGCGGGTAGGTAGGTGGATTGGATTGGGCAGCTACAATCTGTCTTGGACTACCTACCTCTTGTCGATTTTGTGAAAAGTTGAAATTTTTGCCGCTTAGTCTAGAGACACCCGACCAAAGAATATCAAAACAACCACGATTGGCAAAAACGAGCACACAACATATAGAGTTTCAAATATTGTCGATATAATACCTAGGTAGGTAGGTGCTGTAAAATACAAGCATCATGGTGAATTTAGGTCTTGTCATGCTTCAGTTGTGGCAATGCAGTCTTCATCTATCAAGTATACATACTTGTTTTGTCAAGGCAGTGAGAGTGAGCCATCACCTCCACTGCGTCCGGCCTCACTAAACAGACAACCCAGAAGATGTTCTCGAAAATACTCTCTATCTCTACTCCAAGCCTTGACTATTACGTCCCTGCCTATACTGATCATGGTCTTTTGCTGCTCGTCTTGACTCGAATCTGGCGTTGATGACCAATAACGCGAAAAACAGATAAGATGGACTCCGACGTGAATAATGGTGCGGTAGGCAAAGCTATCATCCAGTGAACCATAACCAGAAGCAAAAGCCTGGACGAGCCACTCGGTCGCACCTACATTTCTGTATAGCATTAGGGACCAAAGCTCAGCGATGAATTGACCGAAGTCGAGAGGCCGAACACCAAGCTGAGAAAGTTCCCAGTCAACGATGCGGATGGGAATATGGTCGTTAACGTTATCTGTTACAGAAACGTCTGGAATCAAGACACTGATTGATTGATACGTTACGTTCCTTTGTTAGACCGACTCTCTCTGGCCAATAGTAATAGTTATTGTCAGAACTCACTTGCCAGTCCAGAAATCACCATGAATAGGGCACAGAGCTGTTTCATCTGCAAGTTCCTCGGCCGCTAAGTCACTGACATCTTGCAGGATGTCCCTTGCGTCGCCAAGAATCATCGGGTACCGGTCGACCATCTGCAGTAGCTGCTGGTAGTTGATCATGTTCTTAAGGCCCTGCCCGTCCTTGTTCCCCGCAAACGTCTCCCGCAGTGCGGCTTGCTTAGGTTCTTGGCTCCAGCCGTGGAACATACGAAGCCAAGTTCCAACAGCATGGCCGAGCCGATCACACGGTGGCTTATATGTTGAAGTGGTAGGATGAGGATGAGAAAAATGCTTGAGGGCGTATTCCTTGAGAGAGATGGCGTGTGGGAGGTACTCTTGGATCTGGGTGTTAGTGTCGTAGTTGAAATAATATGTCTTGGGAGTCGATATGGTATAGAACTCGACTTGTAACCGAGGGAGCCCAGCGAGCCGGATTAGAGAGTCATACTCAATGACCTGCGCTGATGTTAGGCTTGAACAGGGAGGGCTATCATGCCACGAGGGTATTTTGGCATGTATACACATCTCGAGGTTGAGATCTTGAATGATGGGTGCGTTGCAACATAGCCCTCACCATGTTTAATTACGACACCATCCCGATACTTATCGTTACTTGATGGTTGTTTGAGAGCGGCATGATATATAAAATTGGCGGTACCTCCAGACAGCCTCCGAAGATCCGACACGGCAAAAGGAGTTTTGCTGAGAGCATGCACCACTCTGGATCGAACCTCTTGTGTGGTATCAGTAGGATCATCGAGCTGTTGGTGGGAAGTCATGATGAGTTGCTGAGGGGATGAGATAGTCTATAGTATATCGTGAAGAGAGCAGCTGTCAAAGAGGGCCATGCAACTGGTCGCGGGATTTTGCTTGGCCGATGACTCAACATGAACATGAAAGTGCTAGACTGACTACTACCTACCTACCTAGGTAAGTGCCTTACCTGCCTTTTACTGTTACTGTACCTACTAGGTATTCGTACAGCCTGAGACATCTTGGTTTGCCGTCCACAGCTCGTGACGTTTTGCCGAAGCGCTCTGTACCAGATTAAGCGACGCATCAGAAGGTACATGTGTTAGTGTCTACCCTGCCTCAGTATGGAAAGTACCTCTACTGTGTCGTATCATCCATACAACTTGCAGCAGACTGTCACTAATCTAGATGGTCATTCTTGGCTAAGAAGCCCTACCTACCTATCCATGTATGCGTAGCAAGTACCTACCTAAGTACCTAGGTGCCTAGTCCAGGTGATTTACCCTTTACCTAGGTAATTGCTTCTCTTCTTCATGCTGCCACGGTTGTCATGCACAGCCTGTCTTGGTTACCAAAATGACCACCACCAGTAGCTTAGTAGGTACAGTAGTACAGTACAGGACTGTCATCATCTTTTCATTAAAACACTTTTCTGCCCGGCGGCAATGGATGGAGGTACTGCAAGATATCAGGCGATGTGATACAATAAGCAAGGCATCATGATCTGGGCTGTCTCTTGATGGGGGCGCAGAGTTAGATTAGGTTGATTCAGGGTCTGGGCCGCCATCGTCCATCTTAGAAATCCGCCACCTTCCTGAAGTTTAATCGTGAGTGAGGAAGAATTGCGAGCCCCTCATGATTTCATTCCTCTGGTTACCTATGTACTAATGTATGTACGGTTCGAATCCGGGCGTTGAGAAGGAATTGATTGACGGTTGGGCGACTTGTTGATTTCCGTTTTCAAGAGTCGATGGCCTTGAGCTACTACCTACCTACCTAAGGTGATGATGGTCTACCTACCTAGGTACTAAGGTAGGTGCGCAATGCATTGCATCAGCATAGAAGGAAACCTAACTGAATGACCTGTGTTTGGTTCAGGCATGGATCTATGATCAGAATAAACCGCACGCTATTATTTCTTAAAACGCCTGAAACAAGCCCCCCACAGTAGCTACCTACTCCATAGCACTCAGGGCACTATAAGTCTCCTGCGGGCGGTAACTTAATGGATCCATGGATGCCTTGCATGACATGGACCTGACAGACCTTGGATACCTTAGATACCTGTATGGAGGTACTTATGTAGGTAGGTACTGCCTAGCATCCATCCAGGATAATGAATCGAAACTGCCGCTATAATCTATACGGGATGCTACCTTAGTACTGTATTGGTGACTCTTGGTGCTGTACCTCTGTAGGCCCTGCCAGCTCTTACCGAAAAAGTACCGGGCCTGGAGATCTGCGACTTGGCTTTTTGCTTAACTCTGGCTTAATTGAGGTACAGTATCTGTACCTTTGCATTGTTTCCCCCCTCTTGCGGCACCATTCTGCGACAACCACGGCTCCCGTTGCCGATCGAAACTCACCGGGCTAGGAGGTAGGTACCTAGTGGGCTCAGACAGGCACTTACTGCGTCCAGGTACCTGCCGTCGTCACTCAGGTCAGGTCTCCTTTCCCTGTCCCTTCCAAGATTAGCAACAAAACCTGTAATAATATCCACCATACCTTCCATAGTACCTACCATCCCATCCCTTCCCTTCCCATCCATCACTACTGTACTCTGTCCTGTCCTGTCCATTCCATTCAATCGTCATCCAAACCTTCTCATTCGATCAACCATCGACAGCGGACTCATTTTTCTTTCATATTATAATATCTAGGTAGCTACCTACCTTCTTGGCACTTGCTCCGCTCTGTCATCCTTTCTTCTTCCTTTGTCCACCTCCATCCTCTCAATTTTCTTTTCCACCCTTACCTGCTCTTGCGTATCGTATCAACTCACCCATTTCCCTCGGCACCAAATACTTCATCACCACTGTCAACAAAGCAACTGCCAGACATACCGCCACCGACTGTCCCAGACTTGTATCACCAACTATATTCCGTATTGGTCTCACGTTTCACGCCCGCGAATTCACCATCTTGACTCTCACGACTTTCTTCTGTGGTATCGGGCTTCCATTTCTCTACAGCATAACCTGGTTTTGAACCCCTGCTTGTAGTCCCAACCTCTCGGCGTTCGACAAGCCGATCAACCTCGTCACGTTATACAACGACGGCTTCGACTTCTTTTCCCCTCTTCGATCATATTCTCTACACTGGGACACTTTTACGAACCGAATGCTACACTCGATTAATTGCTGCGCAATCTTTCAAATCGAACGCTACCCTATTTCTGTGACGGACCGTCAATGTTCGTGACATCACTATCGTCTTCGCCTCCAGCTCCAGCTCCTTTGTCCTCGTTGAATTCGATAGTATTACGCAGAAAATTAGTCTACAATGGCTGGAACACTTGTTGAGAGGGCTGCGCTTCCGGTCCATACATCATCACTTGACACTAAACTTGACGTTTCCGCTCGACCTCGCAGCTCCAATCTTGAAGCTGTGTTTTCACCGGTAAACAATGATGGATGTTTCGATTTTGACCGCGTCTTGAAGAGTGGTTATGTCCAGAAGCGTACACAGAAGACAAAGGTCAGTTTTGTCCTGCTAGCTTTTACGAATTTGTTTGAGACCATGGTACTGTGGCTACCAAACTGTCCATGCAATACTGACTCTTTCGATGTAGAAGTGGAAGACTGTCTACCTGGTGCTGCGGCCTAACACCCTTTCCTTATACAAGAATGAAAGTGAAGACCGACTACGCCATCAGCTTTACCTCTCTGAGCTTACGGCTGTCGCTGAACTTAAAGACCCCAAGCACAAGCGCGAGAATGTTTTCGGCCTCTTTTCCCCGTCTCGCAATTACCACTTCCAAGCGAATTCTGCCCAGGATGCCGGGGAATGGATGAAACTAATACGAAAGGACGCGCGTATTGACGAAGAGGAGGACGAAATGTTTCTAGCCAGTCCTCGTGGTGCACAACAACCGAAGAATGTTATCAAGCCATCCCCTCTCGACAACAACCAGCCTAATGAGCACGACCGCTTTCTGTCGAGCTCGCCAGAACCTATGGTTTCATCCGCCCCCAGATACGTCACTTCAGGAGGTGGTAGGAGAAGATCATCCATACTAGAGTCCTCGGGAATGTCGGGTGCCGAATTCGCATCTCACTCCGATCTTTCCGACAGCGAAGCATTCCGTCCTCAGGACTCCTCCTATGATAGTCTGACTGGCAAACCGCCCGGCAATGTTCCTCCCAGCGCCACTCGTGCACCAGGCCAGGGCATCCGTTCGGCAAGCCAGACAAGCGTGTCCAATGTTGAGCAGGATCCTGACCGCGTCATTTGGCAGGGTCGGCTCTATCTCTTGCGTCATCGTCGTGGTATGCGCCAGTGGAAGGATATGTGGGCTGTTCTGCGACCTCGTAACCTTATCCTTTACAAGGACGAGTCTGAATACACAGCCAGGTGGATTCTACCAATGTCCGCCGTCGTCAATGTTGTTGACCTTGACCCCCTCAGTAAGAGCAAGAAGCATTGCCTTCAGGTCATTACAGAAGAGAAGAGCTACCGCTTCTGCGCCCACGACGAAGATGCGCTTGTTCGTTGCGTTGGCGCGTTCAAAAGCCTCCTTGCTAAGCGCCGCGAACTCGAAGCTCGCGCTGCTGCCACATCTACGTGAGCTTGACGCGAGATCAGATCTCATGGCCTTTGTGCCATGAGATTGGATGGTGTCATAACACCTCAGACGAATCATGATGATCAACGTTTTCCTTTGTGATAATTTTCTTTGTTGTAGGTCAGCGGGCCGTGCGGCTTTCTTTTTCATTATCTTTTGTGGCGAATATCTGTTTGATACCTTTGTAAAAGAAAGAGAAGGAGTAGACTCTTGAAGAGTTTAACTTTTGCACAGCACTTGTCTATTTAGCGAGAGCTGCTTAATTTCTGTACATATAAAAAGCCCTTGATATCCCTGGTAACTAGCAATTCCTGTAGAAACCTTTCAATTCATCAGCCTCGCCGCAAATCCAAAAGTGAAACGCACGCAAATCCTGAACACCCTGCCCTCTTTTTGAACCATGCAAAGGACTCCAAACCACATGAATATATAGAACGCCAAGACACTGTTACATGTCATGCAAGATCATTGGTGTTGGTCTTCACGGCCCGTCGAGGAACCAACGCTGAGCCAAGCTGTGCCGTGCCAGACCTCACGAGCTAACGGTCTGATGACATCCTTCAATTTCGGTCTTCAGTTGTCCTCTCGACTTCGTCAACACACAGCGCTCTTCAAATATATTGATCGCCAACAGTATAGAGTCAACGCAAAGTAGTCGACGCGAGCCAAGCCATCAGGTCAGCTTGATAGTCCGGCCAAGTATTGTCCCACTATCAAAGATCTAAGATGCCCCTCGGCACCACATATACCGGAATGCTACATCGGGTTGAAAAAGTATTGGTCGTCAAATTCGCTGTTCTCCATATAGTCGAGGTTCGTATCATCGTCGCCGTTGATGAGATCTTCGTACGTAGCCTCGCCCGTTCCATCAGCTAACCCACCGCCTGTACCGAGACTACCGAATATCTCGTCATCAAAGACAGAATCGAAATTATCGTTTGACACTTCCTGGGGCGCTCCTTGGTTATCGGCATTCATGGCAGGCTCCTGTTTGACCCCATTCGCAGTTGAGCCAGCAGGCAGCTGAGATATATTCGGCTGTGGATTGTTGTTGGTTGGCAAAAGGTCATCAAGACCCAGGATGTCGTCGTTACCTTCAGGAGGAGCAAATGTTGCCAAGTCGAATGAAGGCTCCTGATTTGTAGATTGATTCTGTGAGTCGTTATTTGTCGGTGCCAACGTGAACTGCATATTTGTAAAGTTCAGTTCCGAGTGAGGTCCATCAGAGGTAAGGTCCATCACATCACTGTTGTGGTTTTCTAATGACTTTTCATCCATGACCGGCATTGGGGCCATAGGGGCGACAGCAACAGCTGTTGCAGCTGGCGTTGGAGAGAGGCTGGTCTTCATCTTAGACTGGTCGGAGGCTGTAGATGGAACCACGCTTTGATTGAGGTCGTCCTTCATCGCTTGATTAGGTTGGCCAATGTCGGAGAGACCCATACCCATGTCTGGAAAGGGGGCGACCGGCTTATTGGCCTTGAGTTCCGTCATAGGCTGGTCCTGGGGGAGTGGAGGTGGCGAAGACTCAAGATCAATGACCATGGGCGACTTTGATTGGGACTCAACAGGCTGAGGAGGCTGTGATGTTACAGCGGACTCCTGCTGCTTTTGTTGCTGTATCCGTTTGACATCACGCATCAAGACAGATTTGGCGTCAATCTAAGAAGGCGTTAGAATCTGTGGTATGGCGAGGTAGTAAGACTGATCAACTCACAATATCCCATTCCAATTTATGTAACGCTTCTCGGAAGCCATCAATAGACTCAGGCAACTTGGACTTGAGTGTTGCTTGGTTGGAATGCGTATTGCCCTGAACATCTTTACGTGAGGCCCTGAGGGCTTTACCAGTGTGAACCAGCTAGAAAGAGCGTTAGAAAAAACAAACGATTGTTTGAATAGGAGAGTGCTCCTTACGACATCATCGATCATGGCCTGCAGGACATCCAGCGGGTCCGGGGAAGGTTGAGACGCCATGGCCGAGGCGTATACAAAGAAAGGGAAAAAGCGAAAGTTCAGGTATGGATATGTAGAGGGGCCCTGTCAGTACAAGCAAAACGATGTAGTACTAAGATTGGGGTTTGAAGAACGGTGAGGATACAAGTATCCGGATTAGCAGGTAGGTAGGCACCTTCAAAGTAAGGTACTAATAAGGTAGGTTAATAGGTAGTTGATGGGTGGTGAAATGCGATAGTCTATACCTGAAAGCTGAACCTAAGTTGGTTACCTACCTTAGTAAAGCGCGGTTGTCGGTAGGAGCGACATCACGTGCCTCTCCCAAGTTTGGACTCAATGGTGGTCTCAGCAGTGAATCCTAGTTGTCTTACCTATCAAAATAAAAAAGAATGAGACCTATCTTAGTATGAATAGGTAAAAATAAGTGCATAAAATACAAGAGAAGCCTTTATGCGTTTACGGAGGAGTGCAAATGCTCGCAAATCCCATCTACTATGTAGGGAACCAAGTTGTAATGAGTCACCCACCACAATCCTCCAATCATCTGTCGATTAGGGTGAGCTTAACTCTACCGCGCTACGGATAGGTAGGTAGACTAGATATGCTCGTAGCAGCACTCTACTTTGGAGTTGAGACGCAGGACGGATAACATTGGACATGACCTCGAGTATTCCCTACCTACCTACCTACCTACCTACACAACACTACCTACAATAAGTGCAGAAAGCTAGGTATCTAGGTACTGATAGTAGGTAACATTCATTCTTTACTGTATAGGTACCTACCTAGCCATTCATAACCCCTGACACAGGGGCTTATATGGGCCTCCAAGGACATTAAATCGGCCAATCATTGATTAGATCGGCTGCAGGGTCTCTTGAGTTGTGATAGTCGGTAAAGAAAAGCATCCAATGCAGAAAAAGAAAGGGTTTGTCTGTCTTTACGGGAAATGGTGGATGGTTTATGACTTCCAATCCCATCCATGGGAGCACTGAAGTTCTTGGGGTGTTCCTTAAGATCTATATATGGAGGTTTCCCTTGGACTCTACGGGCCCTCTTCGCCTCTCTCTTGGATTTCTTTTTTCTTCATGGAAATTAACAACCCCACGTCTTACGGCTGAAGACAACGTCTCGATTCGTTCTTTTTGTTCCGTGTTACAGTGCAAGATATGGAGGTACCTATTCAATAACCGCCTGACAGACGAAGCGCTAAGTTCCTTCTCTCGGTACAGTAACTCGCGTGTCAACTTCAGGACTTCTCCAACAATGTTGGGGTTTCCACAATAAGGCCAGACCATCCTGTGCTTTCGTCTGGACCCCGGTGTCAGACCTGACCAGACCCCTCCCTCTAACCTCTAACCTCTCACCTCTCCCTCACCCTCTCTGTGCCCACCGTGTCATAATTAGCTCCGGGTTGTCAACTCGACCATTTGGACCCCTGCCCTGCCCTCTCCTGTCAAATAATAATATGTACTAGGTAGGTTAGTAGGTACCTACCTAGGCACTGTACCAGGTACAAGTACAAGTCTAGACTACCTAGGTAAGGTAGACAGACTACTAATTACATATTGTCACCGACCGCCGACTCTCCACCTCGACCGACCGACTACAGTACAACACAACACAGCGCAAGCTAACGGGTAGCTCCAATCTCTCTACTCTACCTACCTACCTCTCGCCTCTGTTGTCCATCTTCCTCCTTCCTCCATCTCTCCCATACCATTCCCGTCTCCTCTCCTCTCTTCGACTCAACATCACATCATTCAACCATGGCCGATGCTGGTGCTCCATCCAACCCAGGCCAGCTGCCTCCTCAAGCTGGCGCTGGTGCTGGCGCCCCTGGCTTTGAATCTGCCCAGAATGGCCAGCCTATGGCCCCTCCACCTCTTCATATCCCTCAAAACACCAACCCGATCCCGACCGCTATCACTTCTCCCAGATCCGCCGACAAGGGAGGCATCATGTCGCCCACCAGCGCAGGTGGCTTCCGTCGCGCCGCCCCTGAGCCCAACAAGCGTGCCCTCTACATTGGCGGATTGGACCAGCGAGTGACCGAGGAAGTCTTGCGTCAGATTTTCGAGACTACAGGCCATGTTCAGAACGTCAAGATCATCCCTGACAAGAATGTAAGTTTTTCCCTTAGGCCGAAAACAACAGCTGGGGACATGGCGAACTAACTTGACTTTCCTTTTCCCAGGCGCGTGGCTACAACTATGGCTTTGTTGAGTACGACGACCCCGGTGCCGCTGAACGTGCCATGCAGACTCTCAACGGACGACGAGTTCATCAATCGGTACGATACCCCAACGCAATCCGAAATTCGAAGCGGGCGGCAAGCGCTAACGCTAACATGCGGTACAGGAGATTCGTGTCAACTGGGCCTATCAGTCAAACACTACGAACAAGGAAGATACTTCGAACCACTTTCACATCTTTGTTGGCGATTTGTCCAACGAGGTCAACGACGAAGTCCTCCTTCAAGCTTTCTCTGCCTTTGGCTCCGTTTCTGAGGCTCGTGTTATGTGGGATATGAAGACAGGCCGATCTCGAGGCTATGGTTTTGTTGCTTTCCGTGACCGTCCCGAGGCTGAGAAGGCTCTGAGCTCCATGGACGGCGAGTGGCTCGGGTCGCGAGCCATCCGGTGCAATTGGGCAAACCAAAAGGGACAACCTTCTATGGCCCAGCAGCAGGCCATGCAGGCAATGGGCATGACCCCTACCACTCCTTACGGACACCACCAATTTCCAGCACATGGCGTTGCTAGTTACGAAGTCATCTTGACTCAAACACCCAGCTGGCAGACCACTGTCTACGTCGGAAACCTTACACCCTATACAACCCCCAACGACGTGGTGCCTCTGTTCCAGAATTTCGGCTTCGTGGTCGAATCTCGTTTCCAGGCTGACCGAGGATTTGCGTTTATTAAGATGGACTCCCACGAGAACGCGGCCATGGCCATCTGCCAGATGAACGGTTACAATGTCAACGGCCGCCCTCTGAAGTGCAGCGTATGTTCTGCCCATGCTGCATTCTGATATTGGAAATCGAGACTGACAATTGCTTTAGTGGGGCAAGGACAAGACACCCAATGCTCAGGGAGGCTTCGACCCTGTCCAGCCTTTCAGCCCGCAGAGTGCTCAAGCTCCTGGCTTTCCTGGTACGCCTACGGGATATTACCCGCAATATGGTGGTGAGTTGAACATGAACGGGAATTGAAACACTCAGTAGCTAATTATCTTGATAATAGCCCAGTATGGTGGACAGCCTGGCAACTACGGTGGCCCACAAGCCGGATCTCCAGCGGGATATGCTGGCTCGCCGATGGGATATACTGCTCCTCAGAGTGCTGGGGGCTATGGAAGAGGCCAGCAGCCCCCCAATGCTGAATGGGCCCAGCCTCGTCCTGGCCAGAACTTCAACAATGGATTTGGTGGTTATCAGGCCTAGGGGGCAACGACCAAACCAGAGCAAGACAAGCCAACAAATCGGATGAAGGTTACGTCAAGTAATGATTGAGCTGTTGTGCAAGATCACGATACGGGTCAGACTTTTCTTTATCCGCATCTCATGATCCCCTTTCTTCTTTCTCACGTTTCTGTGGATTCTTCTCTTGCGCTTGCTTCTGTTGCTTCCATTACTTTCTTCCCAGTATCTCCAAGCATTATTACAGTACAGGCCTGTGATACCCCCTTTCCGTGTTCTGGAAAAAAAGGGCAATTTTTCTGTCTTGCCTTGAATCGCATGTACACATTTCTTTCTTCCCTTCCTGTTTCGTCGATAAAAGTCAAGGAGCGCCACATGTTTCTCGGTCTCTCTCTATCTATCTCTCTGTACGAGCACTATCTCCAGGATACCACCGGTGTTTGACCTTGACTTTGTTGCATTTGGTCAAGGCCAGCCTGGCATTTCAAAATTTCCTATTCGGCGAAGTCATGAGCGTTTCGTCTGTTCTTGTATGTCATGAAGCATCTGACATTTCAGTGTGTGGCCATGGTGGCGGCAGTTCCATTTCATGGGTTCATATCTGTGTACTTAGCGGCGACCTTTCTTTTCTTAACGGGATTTTCTCTCTTTTCTCTTTTCTCACTAATAATGCTTGCTCACGAAATGACGGAACTACGACGATTTGACGACCATGTAAGACTGATGACAAAAAGGTGAGGGCTTGGAAAGGTTAGGGAGGCGGAAGTCCAAGCTTCGATTCAACCACGATTGCTAAAGTACATAGGATTGTCTTTCAAGGGAAGAAAAAGAATGGAAGATGATCGGCGGCAATCAACATAAGACGAGGGATAACAACAATAATGAAAACCATTTGACTTGAGTTGACTTGACTTATTCTGATGATGGTCCTTGAAAGTTGACTGATTTATTAAATTGGTCAATTTGTTTCTGTCTCTCGACAGTCATGACTTATTGCATGAGGCGTAATGCCGAAGCTGATGCATGGTAATTGGCGTGGCAACATTTGGTCTCTCTAGACTCCATTTTTATCAGAAGAAACCCTTCTAACACCAGCGGCATCGTAAACTTGGGAAGAGATGGCCACGTATTTGAAGCTCGATGGACAGCAAACTTATGAAACGCCAACAAAATGGGACGGGGGGCGGACCCTGGACTGTGTCGTAGTCTGGCCCTACCAGATAAGGTGAGAAGGGCCGGTAGCGGTTTGGACGTGAAACTTGATTTTTCTTCTTCTTTCGTGCCCGACTATTCCCAAGACCCTGGGAAGGACGTCATTGTGGGCAGTACTACGTTCCTAGTGGATGCTGAGAGAAACCATGGCTGATAACAGTCAACTGTCAACCAGTGTATGTGTGACTGGGAAAATCCCTGTGGGATGGACAAGCAAGGACTTGAGCATTAGAGTTGTAGATGGCAAATTCCGGGGTAAATATTATTCGCTCTGAGTTATTGCAACTGTTCCTCTTCATTTATGTTTACGCGTTAAAGGCAGAAAACTGCACTGACTACCTGATACCTACCTACCTAGGTAGGCAGACTCATGGTATAAATTCTGGCAAAGCCTATCCTCCCCATTCCCTTCAATGCATCTGCCATCCATATAGGCCTAGGTACTGACCTAGGCACTGGCCAACATTAGTACGGGCCTTTTTAAGCTTCGACTGCACCCAGTCGAGCAAGACTTCCATTGCAAAAGCATCCATAGGTAGGTACTATAGCCAGAGAGTTATTATTAGCTTGTTGTTAAAAGCTATAGAAGTACTTAACAGTTTCTCCCACTTACCAGACATTTCCAAGGGAAGTCACGCAATAGCGAGGTACCTAGGCAGTTATGTTCTTATTGAATGCTTTCCAAAGCTCAACCCAGGCAGCTCGTATTATAGCATTCCTATTAGATATCATGATTAATGGTTGGGTATCAGAGATCACGGCTTGCGCGATGCGAGCCCAAGTACTGATTTTGCGTCTATTTACTAACTAGGTAGGTACCAACTCTGTACCTAACCTCCATAGCATTGCATTTTGTGAAAGATAATAGGCTCCGATCTAGGTAGGTAGGTAGGCAACCTAGGCAGGCACTTCTCGCTCTGAGTTGAGGCTCCTTCCGTTGCTCTCGACCGTACTTGAGGTAACCTACCTACCTGGTACTAGGTACTGACCTGGGTAGTGTCCAGTCTCTTCCCTCTGGCATCGACCAAACTTTAATGTTATTTCGGTTCACAGAAACTCATTCTTCATCAGTCATCATCCGATCGATAGATGCAATGGGTTCATTCATTCATATTTGACTTTGACTAGAACCTGATTCATCTTCCTTTTTTTCTGCTTCTCCCGATATCTCAACCTGTTCCTTACCTCACCTTCTAAGGTACCTACCTACGTAGGTACGTTTTCGTCTTCTCTCAACAATACGGACGCCGTATGTGCCAACACATCCACAGTACTGTACCTACATACTTCTATTAGTACTTACCTGGTACTAAAGTAACAATCTGACGTGCCTGGGTAGACCCACCCCCAGCCTTGGCTTGGGCCTCCACTGACTGCCCGCGGTGCCCAATTCTCCTGCCCCCTCACCTTTCGCCGTGCAGCGGCGCTACAATATCGTGAGAAATCGGTGCGCTGATTCAAGCATCTCTCCTCCTCTACATTACCTACTTTGCACTACCTACGTACGGTAGTACATTGACGTTGATTTTATACGGACGTTCTGGGCTAGCCCGCTTTTGCTCTTGCCTGACTTGGTTACTACGGGGCCGACCTAGGTACAGTCAACGCAACAAGACCCAACTCGATCCATCTCCAACTTGGCGACTGCATTGCACCCGGCCCAACCAGCAGCCGGCCAACCGTTCCGTCTTATTTGTTCTCTGTGCTGTATCGGATTCGTTGCTAGCAGCTAAGTTAAGCTACCCAAGGCTGTTTGACGCTACAGTACACTGCACCAGACCTTTCCTCTTGCTCTCATTTTTCTTCCTCCTCATCCTGCGTCCTTCTCCCCCCCGTCGCAGGGACACAATCATACAATCGACCGTCGACATCATCGTCGATGCCCGATAACCACGCACTGCCCACCCCCACCCGCGACGACCACAACAACCTCAACGAGTTCGCTGCTGACAACCACCTGCCTCGACCTCGCCGTGACCATCCCCGTGACGCTGTCGCTCTGAGCTGCTTCATCCAGCTTCATAGCAGCAGCAGCTAGTCAGCGCCATGGATCCTCAGTGGCAGCAATATCCTGCCGCAGACTCGCCTGGCTCTTCGAGACGTCACAACGGTAACAACCAGACTTCTCGAGATTACACCAACCAGCCCCCGCCTCAAGGCGGATACAAATACGACCAGTTTCACGGTGGCGCCCCCGTTCATTCTGCTCCTCCTGCTTCTGCTCCTGTTGGTGGTCCCAACTCGGCCGCATCTCCCATCTCGCCTTCTCAGATGCGCGACAACAACGGTGACGTCGCAATGCACGACGCCCACGATGCTCATGCCGGTATAAAATACCCCATGAGACCTCACCACCAATCTCATCTGTCGGGCAGCCGTCCCGTCAATCTTCACTCTCCTCAAGAATCATCTGCTGCTCAACGATACTCACCCATGGAGACTCTGTCCCCCACTTCGCCTTACGCGCCCAAGTCTGCTTCTAACAGCCAGTTCACCAGCCCGACACAGCGACAATCGCCCACACGCCAGCCCGATTACTCTCAGTCTCCTTACTTTCCTGGTGCTCGTCAACATCAGCCAGGGCAGCATCTTCCTCCAATTAATCCCTACGCGTCGAGCGGCCATCAGGAAAACTATCCTTCGTCTGCTGTCAACAATCTTGATGCCGCCTTCAACCTTGACCCCAAGTCGCCGCGCCGACCTGTTCCTCAGCAAGTGACCAGGGGCCCGGTCCCAGAGTTCAAGCCATTATCGTCGTCAACAGACTTGCAACCAAAAGTCAACTCGCAACCACCCTTTCGTCGCGCCAACCCTGAAGGTGGCTTTATCAGCGTATGTGATGACCCCCAGTCCGTTGTAAACTTTTGTGCTCACCATTCGGACAGCCCCTGCAGGCTCTTACTGTTCAATTGCCTGCTACCTATCGCATTTGCAACCCGAGCTTCAAATATGAGTCGTCTCGCAACCCCCGCAGAGTTCTGACAAAACCTAGCAAGGGCACTAAGAACGATGGTTACGACAATGAGGACAGTGACTATATCCTTTATGTTAACGATATTCTTGGGTCCGAAGAAGCCGGCCACAAGTATGCTGTATACAACTCCCTTATGTGCTTGTCTCTGACCATTATCACAGGAATCGTTATCTTATCTTGGACGTCTTGGGCCAAGGCACTTTCGGCCAGGTTGTCAAGTGTCAGAATCTCAAGACACAAGAGGTGGTCGCAGTCAAGGTCATCAAAAACCGCACTGCCTATTTCAACCAGAGTATGATGGAGGTTTCCGTCCTTGATCTGGTATGAAGCTTTCAACTTTGCATCCTGTACAGACACTAACGAGCTGTAGCTCAACACGAAGCTTGACAAGAACGACGACCACCACCTGCTACGCCTGAAGGACACCTTCATCCATCGACAGCATCTTTGCCTGGTCTTTGAACTTCTGAGTGTCAACCTCTACGAACTTATCAAGCAGAACCAGTTCAGGGGTCTGAGCACCACATTGGTCCGCGTGTTTGCTCAACAGCTCCTCAATGGTCTGGCACTTTTGAACAAGGCTCGTCTAATCCATTGCGATTTGAAACCCGAAAACATTCTTCTCAAGAACCTCGAAAGCCCAATCATTAAAATCATCGACTTCGGCTCGGCTTGCGACGAGCGACAGACTGTCTACACGTATATCCAATCACGGTTCTACCGGTCTCCGGAAGTACTGCTGGGTCTGCCATACTCATCAGCCATCGATATGTGGTCACTGGGCTGTATTGTGGTAGAGCTGTTCCTCGGCCTTCCACTGTTCCCAGGATCTTCAGAGTACAATCAAGTATCGCGAATTGTGGAGATGCTAGGAAACCCTCCCAACTGGATGATCGAAATGGGCAAACAGGCAGGCGACTTTTTCGAAAAGCGACAAGATGAATTCGGAAGGCGGACGTACCAGCTCAAGCCAATGGAACAGTATGCCCGGGAACGCAATACGAAAGAGCAACCTAGCAAGAAATATTTCCAGGCCAATACCCTCCCCGAGATTATCAAAACTTACCCCATGCCACGGAAGAACATGAAGCAAAGCGAGATCGACAGAGGTAAGGTGCGACTTCGTTGATTTTTTGGATCTGGCTAACGCAAATCGAAATAGAAATGAATAACCGCATCGCATTCATTGATTTTGTTCGCGGTCTTCTTACAATCAACCCTCTGGAGAGGTGGTCGCCACAACAAGCTAAACTTCACCCTTTTATTACCCAGCAGAAGTTCACTGGCCCTTTTATACCGCCGATGAATCTCAAGTCGAGCTCTCTGAACAGATCACCGGCGCCTGGTACCCAGCAGCAACAGCAAGCCGAGGCGCTCAGCAAGCAGCGGGCGCAAGCAGCGCAACAGCAGGCCGCTTCAGCCGCCCCCAACCCTTACCCCGCGAATGCCAACCAGTACGCGCAGCAAGGGCATGCACAACCGCAGATGTACGGAAACAGCTCTATGTATCCCCAGGGAGGCAACCATGGCAACATGCCTTCACCATATGGCCAACAGCATGGTCAGTATGGGCAGATGCCTATGTCTCAACAACCCCAGCAGATGCCTCAGGGCCAGTATGCGCAAATGCCCCAGCCCAACATGTATCAGCATCAGCAGGGTGGTATGAGACCAGTCCGCCAACGCGCATCTACTATGGAGCAGCAGCAGAGTGGCATTCCTGCCGCCATTCAACGAGTTGCCAGTCACCTTGATCCCAGCCAACCGATCCGCCTGCAGCCCAGCCCGGCATATTATCCACCTACTGGAGAAAGCATGACGGGTGGTAATATCGATAACCGAACAGGGGCAAACCGAAGAGGGAGCCGCGTGCAGCAAGGGGGTCGGGGTAACAGAGACTTCATCCGCAATTTGGAGGAGCGCACTCTAGAAGAAGGTTTTATGGGAAACCAAAACACCTGGCATTGAAGTGCCTCAGCCTAACAAGGGACCAGATGTCCGTGCCAATCTGTGATACGAGCCCCTCGAGTCGGTAACGAGGACGACCAACCACTATCTTTGGCGGCAGTCCATCAGGTTTATGCTCATGGTTGGTCATAAAAAAAAGCATTACAGTGGTTCTAACTTGGCAGGGGTCTTATTCTCCCATCAAATTCACAAGCCGCAACGAACCAAGGCGCCGCGTCCTAGTGAATACATCGAACCTATTCTTGTCATTGTGGTGGGAGTACGCCGAAAATGAGGCTTTGAATCCATTTCTGTGTGGCCTGCTTTGCACAAAACCAGCACCAAGAGCACATTCAACAGATTCACCCCCAAGGCAAACAGGATTGTCTCGATCAGATCCACAATGGTTGGTGGGATTTCCCACAGGATTTCCTTCTCCTGACACTAGCTGGAGTATGGCCGCAGCATCGACAGGCCTACTCTTGGTGGCAGTTTTCTTTTTCTTTCTATCGTTATTTCTGTTGGTATAGTATCAAGGCGGACGGTATGATCAGCCAAGAATTCTATATGGTGCAGAGTTATCGAGACTCGGCAGGTGACGACGAAACCTGCCTCGGTCCCATGGCTTGCTTGGCTGTAGACATTATTCCTCTGGTCTTGAATTTTGGTGTACGAGGACGAAACGCACTTGGTATATCACGGGGTAAGGCTCTTGGGTTTCGACTCCTATCATGTAGTTGTATTGGTATTCGTCTGTTTATGGGTGTCTTCACAAGGGTTGAATCTGGGAGGACGAATGGAGGTTTAAAACATCATGAATAACCCGTTGGACAAACAACTCGCGTCTCGCTTTATCCCAAAGTGATGGATCTCGTTACCAACGCATAAACTCGTAGACTGCTTCCAAATACTCATGCCGTCACCTACCTATCATAGGAGGCCTGTGACGAGAATCCAAGGCGATAGGAACAAGATGCTAGCTGAACTAGGTTTAGAGACTCAATTGTTTGGTCTCTTGCGCTGCATTGGCTAAGTTTTCTGTGACCCCAAGTGTAGAACAGTCTTGAGGGCATATAATAGACGCCGTCGACTCCAAACACCAATGCCAAAAACAAACAATTGATGCATTCCTCAACCCATGCTTTGAAATCATCTATCAAGGACATATAAATCGAAGATTGAATAGAAAAGGTAGTTGCAAAGAGATCGAGATGACAGCTTAACGTCCTCCGCGACCCCTTGCTCCCCCCTTCGGACCTCGGCCTCTTCGGCTGCCGCCAACAAGGTCGTCACTGTATAGCTGACTGTCCCTTGATCCATTTGTGACAGCGGTCTGCATTAGGTCGGTGAATCCCAATGATCCGTCAACAACATTGTCCTTGGCGTTGAACCTATTTGCGCGGTTACCCCGAGGACCACTTGGGGCATCCCTAGGAGCGCTGGATGTCATGTTGCTTGCTGAAGAGCCGAGTTTAGGATATACTTTGATGATCCTGCCGTCAGCCTGTGCAAGAAGTCAGTGCAATTCAGGTCGAGTGTGTGCTTGTAAACTAACAGTCTTGTCATTGAAGGTCTCAATGACGCGTTCGCCACCTTCACGAGAGGCGAAAGCCATCTCGAAGATGAGGAACGGCTTTGATTTGACGATGCGACAGCTCACGACCTCGCCTCCAATGGGGGTCATAGCGCTCTCGATATCAGCAGGTGTAGTGCCAGGAGCAAAGTTTTGTGCCATGACGGTGAATGGCCCAGCGAGACCTCTGATAGTCATGCCCATAGAGTTGTTGGCATTGTTTGCCTTTGATTTTACTATGTTGACTTGCTGAGGTGCATCGCCTGAAGTGTCCATGCGATCAACGGCAGCAGATAGGCGAGCTACCCGGCGATTGCTGGCTCTCTTGTTGGCGGAATTGGGGGCTGAGATGCGAGCGCTCAAGTCGCCTGAAATCGAGTGGTGCAGATCATGAGTCCATTCGCCATTGACGTTTCCAGGGACAGGAGCGTTTGATCGGGCGCCGACGGCGGAGGAACGTTGCTGCAACTGTTGGTTTCAATGATTCACTTCGTGTGTCTTGGTGTATCTACCTTCTTGACGCCAACGCGGCTTGCAAGCGAGGGACCTGGAGTCGACCTAAGTTTGGAGGGGGCACTCTGGCGACGATTCTTGGAGAAGATGCGATCGGCAAGAGCTTCGTTCTTCTTTCGCTCGCGCCCTGTGAAGGAGTGTCAGACAAGGAAGGGGAACATGGGCGATGGTAGGGGCTTACCCTCATGGATGATCTTTTCGAAATCTGTAGCAACTTTCTTCGCCATGATTAAAAATTCCAGAGATATGAGACAAGAAGAGTCTCGAGCGGTGATATTGAACGATTCTTGAGGGATAGATAATAGATTGGTTGATGCTTCGAATAGGAATATCGATAGGTAGGTAGATAGCCGTACTCTGGAGTTCGCTTGTTTTGTCTCGGTCCTGAAAGGGCAAAAGGATGGGCTAAAGAAAAGAAGTGTTGACTGGACTGCGACCGCGAAGCGCGTCTCCGATTAGGCGGGGAGTTTAATGTTAGTGGGATGCACAGGGGATAGGGGCGTGTCTTTACGATGAATCCATGAATTGGATTGGATGGCATTGAATGGAAGTTAAGCGCGGCGGCTCTCGGCGCGACTGATAAGATAAGACCTTTTTGTTTTTTCCCTTGATGGCTGACATGACATGGGACCCCTCGGATTGGGTTGGTTTGGTCTGTTTGCCAGCTCGATAATACTTCCTCTTCTTTTCCCAACCGCCTGTTCCTTCACCATGGCCGAAAAGCTGATATACGGTGGCGTATGCTTACGTAGAGCTATACAGCTCCTGCCATATCAGAAATCGATTGCCAGGTCCGGGCTCGTGCCTCAACCTCGTTGCTTTCACAAGTCTCAGCGAACATCCGATTCAATAAAGAAAGTCGCACCTGAAAGAAGAGGACGGAATGAGGAAGCAATCGCAACCGCTGTGTCTATGAAACCTGTCCCGAAGCCTAGCAACAGAGATACTCCCAGAAGCCTCGAAGATGGTGGTGAGAATTCTGTTTCGGCGGAGAAGGAAAAAGTCAGGATTCAATGGGCTGCCAACAAGGAGCTGAAATACCTGGGTGACGATCCATGGAAATTCGCACAATACGTCACTCAAGCGCTGAAAAGAGGCAGGTTTGATGAGGCTTACTCTGTTGTAGAGATGGGCAGTAGAAATCTTCAACTGGTCGTGCCATGGACCTTTTTGATGGATTATATGTTGCAACAACAACAGTTGACTAAAGCAATCAAGATATTCAACGAAGTATGCACCTTGAATACCAAATTCCGATCAAGACTCTAATGCTGCAGTAGATGAAGAAGCGCGCGCAATTCCCTAATGCTATGACTTACACTACCTTGTTCCGCGGTCTTGCCAAATCCCAACATCCCAAGCTTGCTGTCGCCGAAGCTGTGAAGCAATACAACAATCTTCTCAAAGACTCTCGTTTGGAACCAAACACTACCCACCTAAACGCAGTTCTCAATGTGTGCAATCGAGCGGGCGACTTGGACTCGATGTTCTCCATCATTGATACGGTCAACGATTCGACACGAGCCGCTACTGCTTACACCTATTCGATCATCATCAATGCTCTGCGATGGAATACCCATGCCGATTTAAAGGATCTTACGGATGAACAAAAGGAGTTCAATATCAAGAACGCTCTTAAGCGAGCCAAAGCTATCTGGGGAGAGGCCATGGCTAAATGGCGACAAGGACGTCTAGTTATGGATGAAGAGCTTGTTAGCTCCATATGCCGTTTGATGCTTATGTCATCCGACATAGCTGACAAAAAGGAGATTCTTGATATTGTTGAGCAGACCATGAACATACCCAACTTATCTAGAATCCAGGAACGTTCAGCTGTTGAGGCCCGCAAAACCGACCCTAGCACAGGCGCAGTAGCTAAGAAGGACGGCAACGGCGTCTATGCCACTCCCGGCAACAATACTTTGTCCTTGCTACTGCAGGTTGTGTTAAGGACGAAGCAGAGTAGTATCGGCATCAAGTACTGGAATTTCCTGGTTCGCGAGCACGGTATTGAGCCTGATAGAGACTGCTGGATGCGTCTGTTCAGTCTACTCAAGCAAGCCAAAGCCAGTGCACATGCTACTGAGATTCTTTCAATCGTTCCCCGGGACGTTGTTAACCCCCGCATCTACCGCATGGCCATGGAAGTATGTATTCGTGACAACATCAATCAGAACGTCATAAAGAATGCCGACCGTGCTCTCGATAGCATGATGGAACGCATCCAAGTCCCAGATCCGCAGGCCATGCGCCTCTACCTTGTCGCCGTTCAGAGCACCCACTATCATCTCCGGGCTCGTGCCAACGAAGGCGACGTGGCGGGTGCAAAGCGCGCCTACGGCATGCAGATCACCACGGCTCTTGATCGTCTGTGGGTGCCTTACCGCAAACTTCATGACCACTTCTTCCGTGACGCCAAGGCCCAGGAGGATAAAGATCATGCAACTCTGTATAATCAACAACGCGAGGTCATCGCGCTTGCTCGTATAATGTATGGGTCTTATAACAAGGTCATCCAGCAAGAGATGCTCCCTGAGGAAGATCTTGCGAGGATTCGCCCCATCGGTGGCCGCATTAACCGCGAGATCCAGGCCTTCTTTTCCAAACGCGAGGAAAAGGAGCCCAATTTACGCAAGACAAAAGGCCGCGGCGCAGCACAGGAAGAAATGTCTGAATACTACACCATCATGGAAGTAGAATCCTTTTGGGACACGACACAGGCTGGCAGGCCCCCGAGGGAAAGAATCCCTTCAAGGAACTATGATAATAGAAGGAACAGAGGATGAGATAAGTATCGCAATCACCATGGAGAAAACAGACGTGGCAACTACTGGTTTCAAACGTTTAGATTTGATCCAGGAGCCTCCGAGCCATATACAGGGGCTACCAGTCATGGCAACGAGAACCGGGGTTGGAGCGTTTGGGGAGTCCAGGAGACCCGACCCCAAACTTTAGTGATGGAAGTCATCGGCTAAATCCCAGGGCATTCTGAAAAGGGGCATTCGGCAGACAATGCTAGTGTAAGATGCAATTGACATATGTACGATAGGTGTAAGAAGGCAGGTAGGGGACGCGGCGCATTGTGTGGCGTTTAGGTGCACGACATGATCCTTTAAATATACCCGACCTACCCCGTCCGCAGGGTGTCAGAGAATTGACCGTCATAAACATAAGAGATGAGATAGTTTAGTGATATTATGGCGATTTAGAGAAGCATTGAGGCTACTTTATTTAGCTAGCCTAAGCCTTGGAGGATATTTCTTCTGTTACCTACCTAACCCATATATTTCGAGTCTTGGGTTATAGGTAATAGTTCCAAATCCAGTTTCTGGCAACCAGAAACACTATCCATGATTCATTTTGTCTGCTTACTCAACACTCATTTGTCTGCCCTGTGTAATGGGAGAGGCTTAATATGAACATTCACATTTGCAACGCAGCGTCTTGGTCAGCCTGTAATTGGCTGGAGTAACCCGATATTCTCTATTCAGCAAACTCAATACCATGATCGACAGCAATAAGATATCTAACAGACCCGGTTTACAGAGCGAAAAGCCAGGCCTTTCATTGTTTTAAACCCACTTGAATAACCTCCATATAGTGATTTCTAACATAGACTCAAGCTAACACTAGAGTGTGTGGCGTTACTACCCTGACTCGAAAATCGATTCGAGAGCTGAAGTCTAACGGCGGGTTTAGGTATGGACTGAACGCCATCCATGGTCAGAGAGTAAACATTTTGTTCGGACAGAATCGGAGCTTCAAATACGCTTTGGGGCAGTTGAAGAGTAGTGATCGAGGTAGAACGCGAAGCGGATTCCTGTTCTGAATCTTGCTTGACATCCGGTTCAGCGGTCACAGATCTCCCGACAGCACAGTAAGGCCCTGTTCTCAGTAGCTTGTGACAGCGCTTCTTGGGATCGGGCACGGAGGAAGCCAACACGTTGTTTTCGGAGTAAGTGGATGCATCTTGCGGAGGTAAAGGTCTGCTCTTTGTTCTTTTCTTTCGTTCAGGTGGTCGAGTTGTCGCAATTGGCAAAGCTTTAGGTCGTGCTATAGGAATTCTTGGGCGAGGAGTCAAGTTAAGGTACATGTTTGTTTTCGATGTGTATCGTTGCGACTTGCACTCAACAACAAAATCGTCCGATGCTTTTTCTATACAAGCTCGCAAGGTCGTCGATCTTTCTAAGCTGCACTGGGATAGGTCGGGTAGGGGAGCGAGTTGGGGCGGGTTCTTCTCGACGATAGAAGTCGAAAGCTCTGGGCTTCGCTCTTGTTCCAAGCCATCTCGAGCTGTTTGCGATGACCTCGGATCACCGTTGAGAAAACACGGCACACCTGTGGTAGATTGGCCTGACAAACTTCTGTCTTGGCTCCAGCGTTCGCGAGCATGGTGGAATGCATCGCTGAGGTCTGCACGTGGAGCAGAGAAAGCTTCTGCTGGAGAACCGGTAAGCTGCAGATCACCAGAAAGGAGTTGAAGAAGTCCAGTGAATTTACTAACCTGTCTGCAGAATATTCGGAATGCCAGCAGGTTTAGGATTAGACAATGCTTCCCACTTTACCCAAGTAGAAGTTGATGTTGTCTTTCGCCGTTTTGGTTTCAACCAACGTGCAATATGCGAAGAGGATGAATTTTGAGAAGGGGACCTCTCATAAGTGAGGCCCGGGGACTTGGTAATAATGTTGTCATCACTCTCTGGATCCTCGGACTTGTCAACGCGAGCCCTGCGGCGGTTGAGCGGCAGTCTCTAACTGCTAAAATTGATTTGAGACTTTGGAGGTTCTGAGGAGCTTGTCTGAACGTCATGCTTGTATTTCGCCCGCCAGGTACTGAAGATGTTACTGGGCATGATTGTATGTAATTACGGCAGCGGTTATTGATGATAGCGGTGTGATAAGATGAGTTCTAATGGTCCAGCCGTCATCCGTATGGATCTTGAAGTTGTTGATCAGAGGAACACCTGAGATAGGTAGGAAGGTAGATAATTGATTACGAAGATAAAGCACCATGTAAATCGCGGAAGGAACTCTTGACTGCCTACCTTACCTGATACTACCTAGGTATACCTCAGATCTGTAGAGACGTGAAAGGAAGGAAGGTCTCAGGTATCCACCACAGATTGGATACAATCCTTGATTTCCTCATGAGTGCGCGAACTAGGGAGGTACCTATTTTATCATGACACAAATAATGTTACAAAGTCGCGTAGATTGGATGGTCGCGCGTCTTACGGGCTTCCATTTTAATTATGCAAATACCACAAACTTGTGCTAATGCCTACTATCTCCTATCAGCTATTGGTTCCTCTCGCGACAAGGCACTTTAAGTGTGGCCCCGCTGTTGACGGGGTAATCGCCAAGTTGAACGCGCTTTTGACGCGTCGACTCCGACCACTTTTCTAAATGAGCAGTACTCGTTACTGGGGAACCGAGTCAAGTCCCTTCTCTCCGCCACCTCCAGTCTCGATATTACCAACTCCCTATAATCAAGCCTCGAGCAAAGTCTCTCCCTTTCAGCAGACTGACTTCTCTAACCTCCCTTCTCTTTTTGATATGCCATCGGCCTAAGCTTTCGCTCTCGTCATGTCTCACAGGGCTCGGCTCGCTGAGCTCAAGGCCCTTCGCGCCTCTGGCAAGAAAGCCTTTGATAGTTACAAAGTTTCCGACGTCGATAATTTATACGACGAGGTTGACGAAGATGGATACAAGGAGCTTGTTAGAGAAAGATTGAATAAGGATGACTTTGTTGTCGACGACAATGGTGAAGGTTATGCAGATGATGGCCGTGAAGACTGGGATCGAGTGCAAGCCTATGACTCCGAAAGCGAAGACGAGGCCGGCGTCCGTGGACGACCCAGCAAAGCCGGTAAGTACTTCAAAGTGATATGTCGTTCTCTTAATTCTGACCAATGACGCAGCAAAGAAGACTCGTCAGGAAGAGCAGTCCAAGCGAGATGCCAACGATAGGGATATTAGCGAGTACTTTAAAGGTGTCAACAGGACGCAGCCGAAACCCAAGGTACAGTGCTTTACTGGCGATAATGTACAATGGTCGACTAAAACATTGGCAGGTTGTGAAGACGAAGGCGGATGACGACTTCTTGTCTGATCTACTCGGCGAAGTCGACAGCAATATTCCAGAGCCCGCCCCCCCAATCTCGAAAGCCGAACGATCTGGCGGTGGCCGCCGCAAGGCCAGAGCTCTTTCCCCCGCCCCTGAGCCCATCTCCAAGAAGACCAAGATTCTCGATACCCGAAAGCCATCTCCGCCCCCAGTCCTCGATGAGGATGATAGTTTCATCAATTCAGCCGACGGTGATCTCTTAGAAACTATGGATATCCCTATGAGCGACCCAGCGCCCTCTTCGCCCGCTGCCAAAGTTGCGCAGAGGAAAGCTCAGCTTAAGCAAGACCAAGATGACGAAGATGACGAAGATATGATGGAGGTTGCTCACGCCGGTGCTATCGCTACAACTAGTGTCAACATGGCCAGTTCAAGGCCGATCAAGAAGCTCCTGAAAACGGAAACCTATCCAACACCCGCCAGCTCATCTCCTGTCAAGGCAAACGGCGCCCAAGTTGACTCCACCTCCTGGAATGCTCTGACGGAAAGATTGAATGTTGTTTCGAGTTCGCCGGCAGAAACAAAGACCATTGGCAAAATTGATTACAAGGATGCAATTGAAACCGATGGTAGTCTCAACTTCTTCTGGACGGACTACACTGAGCTCAATGGCAGTCTGTGTCTTTTCGGCAAGGTACTGAACAAGAAGACGAAGTCATACGTCAGTTGCTTCGTCAAGGTGGATAATATTTTGAGGAAGCTATATTTTCTACCTCGCGACCATCGTGTGCAAGATGGCGAGGACACGGGCGAGGCAGTTGAGATGATGCAGGTGTACGACGAGATTGATACCATGATGACAAAGATGAGTGTTGGCATGTACAAGATCAAAGCATGCACGAGGAAATACGCCTTCGAACTTCGTGATGTCCCCAGAGAAGCCCAGTACATGAAGCTTCTCTACCCTTATACTAGTAAGTCGCAATATACGTCTGGAAGCCAGACTCAGCTAATCAACGATCACTCCAGAGCCAGAAGTCGATCCCAACCGGCCCGGCGAGACCTATTCACACGTCTTTGGTAGCAACACCTCCCTTTTCGAACAATTCGTTCTATGGAAGAATATTATGGGCCCATGTTGGCTCAAAATCCAAGATGCCGATTTCGACAAGCTCAAGAACGCTTCACACTGCAAGCTTGAAGTTGTGGCTGATCACCCCAACATGGTCTCTGTCTTGAGCGAATCTGATAACCTTGATGCACCCCCCTTGACTCTTATGAGCGTATCTCTCAGAACTGCCTTCAATGAGAAGGACAACAAACAAGAGATTCTGTCTATCAGCGCGAGAATTTACGAGAAGATATCTCTCGCCGATACTACACCTGCTGAGAAGCTGCCGTGTCGAACATTCACTGTAATCCGCCCACATAGCCAGGCTTTCCCCATGGGCTTTGATCAGCTTGCGAAAAAGAGAAACCGTGGTCTCATTGTCCTGAAAAAGCAAGAGGCTGACATTCTTGCATTCTTCCTTGCCCAGGTCGATGTTGCTGACCCGGACGTCATTCTTGGTCACCAATTGGAGGGCGTAGACTACAGTGTACTCCTCAATCGCCTGCATGAGAAGAAGATTCCTGGCTGGTCCAGACTGGGCAGACTCCGCCGTACACAGTGGCCAGCATCAATCGGCAAGACTGGTGGTAATGTTTTTGCCGAGCGGCAGATCCTTTCAGGTCGTCTTATGTGTGATCTGGCCAACGATGCTGGAAAGTCGGTCATGCTCAAATGTCAATCCTGGAGTTTGACAGAGATGTGTAGTCTATACCTATCTGGAGACAACCGCCGCCGTGAATTCGACAATGAGGTGGCTCTAAAGACTTGGGCCAAGGAGAAACAGGGCCTTCTTGACTACATTACCCACATGGAGGCTGATACACACTATATCGCAGCTCTGGCTCTAGGTGTTCAGATGTTGCCTTTAACAAAAGTTCTAACGAACTTGGCAGGAAACTCATGGGCACGAACTCTGACTGGAACTCGTGCAGAGCGCAACGAGTACATTTTGCTTCACGAATTCTACCGCAATAAGTACATCTGCCCCGATAAGCAGACGTTCCGCAGTCGCCAACGTGCCGAAGAAGCACAACGCGAGGAGGAAGCTGCCGATGGGAAGAAGAAGGACAAGTATAAGGGTGGTCTGGTTTTTGAGCCAGAAAAGGGTTTGTATGACAAGTTTGTACTTGTCATGGACTTCAACTCCTTATATCCTTCCATCATTCAAGAGTTCAATATCTGCTTCACAACTGTAGACAGGCCTGATACGGTAAGCATATCCACTCCGACCCTTGACTCCTGGTTAATCATTGCTGCAGAAGGAGGGCGAGGACGAAGTCCCTGAGGTCCCTACCAACCAAGATCAAGGAATTCTTCCTAGACTCATTGCCACTCTTGTCAGCCGTCGCCGCCAAGTCAAGAGTCTCATGAAGGACAAGAAAGCTACTCCGGAGGAGCTAGCCACGTGGGACATCAAGCAGCTTGCGCTCAAACTAACTGCCAATTCTATGTACGGGTGTTTGGGATACACTAAATCACGCTTCTACGCTCGGCCTCTGGCTGTTCTGACAACTTTCAAAGGCCGTGAGATTCTTCGCAGCACAAAGGAACTCGCAGAGAGCAATTCTTTGCAGGTTATTTATGGCGATACTGATTCCGTCATGATCAATGCTAACGTGGATAATGTCGCCGATGCCTTCAAGGTTGGCAACGACTTCAAAAAGGCAGTCAACGAGCAATACAAACTGCTTGAGATCGACATCGACAACGTCTTTCGCCGAATCCTTCTCCAGGCCAAGAAGAAATATGCCGCCATTAATCTCGTGGAGAAGGATGGCAAGTTCATCGAGAAGATGGAAGTCAAGGGTCTTGACATGAAACGTCGAGAGTACTGTGCCCTTTCCAAGGAGATTTCTCAACATCTGCTGAACGAGATCCTTTCTGGCGACGATACCGAAGTCTCTGTCGCCCGAATCCACGAATATTTAAGCGAAATTGCTGGCAAGATGCGCGAACAGAATGTTCCTGTACAGAAATACATTATCCATACACAGCTTGGAAAAGCACCCAAAGACTACCCTGACTCCAACTCTATGCCTCAGGTTCAAGTCGCTCTTCGCGAAATGGCCAAAGGTAAAACGGTCCGCAAGGGAGATGTCATCGCGTACGTGATTACAGGGGACAGCAACAGCTCTGAACCTGCCCCCAAGCGAGCGTATACCCCTGCCGATATAAAGGCAGACCCTTCCTTGTTGCCCGATGTCGAATGGTACATTGGCAAGCAGATCTTCCCGCCTGTCGAGCGTCTTTGCGCCAACATCGTTGGTACGTCCACTTCGCAACTGGCGGAACAGCTTGGTCTAGACATCAAGCGCTACAGCTCCTTCCAGACGCAACAAAATAGCTCAAGCAACGACCTCGAGATTCATCCATTGGATTCTCAAATTCCAGACGAGGTTCGTTTCGCTGACTGCTCCCGTTTGTCCCTGCGCTGCCGAAAGTGTAAGGTCTTGTCCACCTTTGAAGGACTCGCTGCATCCCCTGATCGGGTATCTCAGTCGGGCGTTCTCTGCAGCTCCTGTGGTACACCGATTTCAACACTTTCGATTGTTGCTCAAGTGGAGCATGCCATCCGTACCCAGACAAGTCGATACTACGAGGGCTGGCTTACCTGTGATGATAGCCAGTGCGGCAACCGAACTCGTCAAATGAGTGTCTACGGTTCTCGCTGCCTTGGACCCAAGGGACTTGCGCGAGACTGTCTTGGTCGAATGCGATACGAATACACCGAAAAGGCAATTTACACCCAGCTACTCTACTTTGCTAGTCTCTGGGACGTAGATAAGGCAAAGACCAAAGCTGCGACTGTTGATATGCCTAGACAAGACCGCGAAAACATCCTCGCGCTAGCTGAGCACAACCGCGTGCGCTTTGAGAATCTCAAGGGCATTGTCGACAAATATCTTGATAAATGTGGTCATCAATGGGTGGCTATGGATACTCTATTCACCAAATTGGGCTTCAAGCCACTGGCATAGATGAGCGAGAAGGGGAACGAATGTGTAAGAGTAAATTTATCAGTGAATGGGTAATCGATACCCGGATCAATGGCGTCATGAGCGTGTCATGTTTTATGAGCAGGTTTTGTATAGGAATGGGCACAAAGCAATAGGTACTTGGTCCGTTGTGGCTGGCTGGGACAAACAGAAGAGCAATCACAGGGCGTTCAAGAGGTTTGAGATCAAGAAGTTTTTGATACATCGTCTAAAATCTTTTATACACAAGTTCAAAACAATGGGGTTGATTACAGCGTCCAATGTCAGTTTATCATTGTTGTGTACATGTCTAGCCCGACCACATTTCATTATCTAACATAGACAATCTTCACGTTGTTTCTCAGCGGAATTTGAACATATATATATTTTCATCCCAGTGTTTCATGCTCATTTGATTCTAGATGATACACAGCAAAGCATTACAGTGACTGTTCATCAAAGCTCGGCCATGCTGGGTGCCTGCCCTTATACACAAGACACCAAGTGGCAGGGCTGTGGGCTACTGACTAGCTATGCCCTCCTTGGTACAGAGATGCACATGCCTGCAAACAGAGGCCTATAGCCCCCTGTCATCATCATCAATCATGGTCTTTTTTGTAAATCCTTTCCTGTCTCATCGTGGAATGAATCGTTGAGCAACATCTAAAGCCAGCGACAGGGCGAAAGTATGGCCAGAACCTGCTCTTCGTATAATGAGAACGAGAGCAGGCAGAAAGCGCCGATGGATGTCATTCCGTTCCTCATTCTGACTTGTGAATTCCAAGATAAATTCAACCGCATTCCCCGAACACCACCTCCACCCACCCTGAGTCGTATGTATATGATGATGCGGCGTCATTATATCGCTTTCAGTCATCGATATCTCACGCCCCTTCTCCGTAAACCACACTGGAGGTAATAAAAAACAGCCAGCGACATGCTGGAAAGTGACAGCCGCGGAATCACCTTGAGCCCTTGAACCTGAAATCCTCCACAATATTAAAGAACCGAAACACACTCGAAGCATGCTCAGAAACGGGCTGAGGTAGGTGATGGACGACATCGATGTAAGAAATCCCCTAGGCCGAAATTTTGAGGGTCGCCTCCCACTGTGAGAGACTTCATGTCCGTCCGTCTATGGGCAAAGGTATCATCATAAGTTCTGAAAAAGGAAAAATAAACTGTGCTCAACTTTTGGGACACGTCTGATGGAAAAAGCCTGTAAATGCAAAAAAAGAAAAGAAACAGAGAAAAGCCACAGCTCCACCCCGTCTATTCTGCCGAAATGCAAGACACCGAAGGAAGAATACTTTTATTCGCTCTCTTTCTTGTCACTGTCAGCGGGAACAGCCTTCGAGATCGCAGGTGAGGCAGAGGTAGATGGGGGCGAAGCCGGGTGATCGTTCTCCATGTTAGCAAGGAGGCTGTGAAGCTGTTAGCTGACGTCCATGACTTATGTTGTTTGCAATGGGGGCAAACTTACCTAAATGCATTAGAGTGAGAGGTGTTCTCTCGGGTAGGAGGGGTGCCAGTTCGTGAAGAAGTGCCAGAGTCCTCGCCGCGAGGGCCAAGGAAACCACCAGGACCCATACGCCTTCCACTATTGCTGCGAGACGATAACATGGAAGCAGGACCAAGAGAGATGTTACCGCTTGATGTTCGGTTGGCAGAACCTTTAAGACGACGGAGATCATCCATACCAACTTGGTTGCTGGCGGCCTGCTGTTGGTAACCACCAGAGAAATTGCGAGCATCGCCACGTCCAACAGGAGGACGACCGCCACCGCCTCGCTGGTTGGTGCGGGCTGCCTCTTGGGCCTTAGCAGCTTGCGCGGCCTCAGCCTCAGCACGAACCTCCTCGAGGGTCTTGGGTCCCTTGTTGGTTTCCTTAGAAACCCATTTGGCCCGTCGAAGGTCGACAACGTCCATGAGCATGAACTTGAGTCGGCTGGGGAGCTCGGGAAGGTCAACCATAGTCTGGATGCGCTGGAAGTAAGCATCCATCATAGGACGACCCTTTTCGGTTTGGTCGAGGTTGCCACCAATGGTCCGGAGCAGCTTGCTGAGCGACTCAATTTCGGCCTCGTCAGGCACTCCCTTATAGTCGACGAGCTTATGCACACATTCGTGCATGATACGTTCAGTAAGCATGCCAAGTTTGTAGAGCTCGCCGATAAATTGGACAAGACCAAGACCACGGCGCTTGGCGGCCGCCGCTGTGTAGTACTCGTCAGAGAGCAGAGCGGCTTCGGCAGTCTTCTTGCCCTCATCTTCCTCTTCAGGCTTCTCGGGAAGATTAACGGCCCAACCACGCTCAAACTCCTCCTGACATCTGTTGAGGAGGTACTTGCGGAAAAGGTTGCCACCACTCACTACTTGGCCATTCTTGTCCTTGATACGCTCGTCACGAACCTCGGGGCTCATAGTCTCGAGCATACGCTTACAGAACTTGGCATACATGGAAGCCCAATGCGCCTCATCCGTGGCCTTCTCGAAGGTAAGCTGAATAACCTGTCGGAGAGTACGGCCGTCTGCCTCCTCCTTAGACTGAGAAGCAATGAGCAGGATCTGATCTGCGATTCTGTCGAATTTCTCGGGGGTCATCTTGTTCAGGGCAGCCTTGACCTTTCGTTGAACCATATCAGGTTCCATATGACCACTAGGGGCTGCAGCAGCAGCTGGGCCAGCACTTTTGCCTACACTGGTAGGCTTCCAGCCGTTAGCAGTCTGTGCGATGGGCTTCAGATCCATGCCGGCAGTCAAAGGCATGGTCTTAGCAGCCTGTGCCTCTTTAGCAGCTTCTTGGCCACGATTGCTACGGCCACGACGAGAACCACGAGGGGAGTTTGGCATTTGAGAGCTGGCTCGCGAGCCGGACGAAGGGAAACCACCAGTGTTGGAGCGGCCAATGGAGCCCATAGAGCCACCAGGTCGTTGGTTAGACATCGCAAAGCGTGAAATAGAGGTGCTTCCAGGTGGGAGAGTACTGCCGGAAGGAGCATTGAAGTTGCCCATGCCAGGGAATCCACCCATAGGCCCGGGAGTGTTTGCACCACGAGGTCCACGGCCAGATCCGCCAGGAGTGTTAGTTCTGGAACGATCATCGCCAATAAGAGACTTGACCTGTTGATGAAACTCGAGAGATGGCTGCTCGGTGAAGACCTTCTGGAATTGCAACAGGAAGTTGGAATCATACTTGAAACTCTTGCCCTTGCTTTGAACGGCGGCATTGAGGGAGGGGTTTGGCGATTTGATGCCTTCTGGATAGATATCTTGTTCGATAACTTTCAAGAAGCGGGCTGACTTGAGGGATTGAAGAGCAGCACTGGGCTGAGCAGGCTCTACGGGCTTGGTGTTGAGAGGGCTGAGGTTGAGAGCAGCAGGTTTCGCGCCGCGCTTCTCAGACTTGGAGCCAGCAGCATCGGCAGACCTGTCACCTCCAATCTTCATGCTGGCAAGTTTATCGGTAACAGACTCAACCTTGGCAGTCTCAGGCTCCTTGCCAGATCGGGCTTGGGAGAGAAGATCAGCCACCGAGGGGGCAGCCGTGCTGGCCGAGTCGGCCTGTTGGCGACGCTTCTCCCGCTCCTCCTCGAGCCGCTCCATCTCGCGTTCTTGTTCTCGAAGCTTGCGATCTGCCTCGGCAGCATTCTTGGCACGATTCTTCTCCTCATCTTCCTTGGCCGCAGCCTTTTCAGCCTCGCGTTTCTTTCGGTGCTCTTCCTCAAGCTTCTCGCGGCGGGCGTCCTCCTCTTCCATTTCACGAATCATGCGCTCCATCTCATCCTCATCGGGGTCGTCATTCTTTACAGCCTCCTCCACCTTCTTAGGCTCCTCTTTCGTAGTTGCCTCAGCCTTGGGGGCGGGCTCAGATGCCTTGGCCTCATGCTCAGCCTTACTTTCCAGCTCGGCCTTGCTCTCAGTGGTCTTGGCCTCAGACTTCTCGGCTGGCTTGTCTTCAGTTTTAGGTTCGGTCTGCTCAGCAGGCTTAGGCTTCTCCTCGGCAGCAGGTGCTTGGGTAGCTTGCTTGATCTTCTCCTTCAACTCATCCTGAATCTGCTTGGCAGTTTTGGGGGCAGTATGGCTGTCAGTGCGGCTATGTGAAGGAGTAGCTGACTTGGGAGGTGGGGTAGCCGACGAGGCAACAACAGGGGGGGTCTTGGATTGCTGAATGCTGGGAGCAGGGGAAGAAGGGGTCTTGAAGGACGAAGTGTCGATAACTTCACCAGCAGCATTCTTGATTTGAATGGCGGCGCTCTTCTTAGGCACCTTGACAAAGCTGCTTGCGGTGGGCTTGAGCGAGGAGTTTTGAGGCTGGGGGGTAGACGATACGATGAGAGGCGTGTTCTGTTGGCTAGCGCTGGGGGGCCTTTCGGGCTGAGAGGGAGTTCGAGACATGCTGTGGCTGTGTTGTTGATATGGTGTAACAAAGTTCTGGTTAAAGCTTGGAGAATTAGCTTGAGGGGGAGCCATATATGGCATGTTGTTATAGTTGTACTGGATCGCTCCCAGCGTACGTCCATAAGCATCCACTTGCTGTGGTCCAGGGGGGTAACCGTAATTCTGATTTTTCAAAGTTAGCACATATTCAAAGAATCCATTTTCTGGTGACATATCGAGAGCAGGTGCGTTTTTCGTGGGAAAGGGTACAAGGGACTCTTTGGGCTGGCACGAAGATGGTACTCGCGTGCAGGTGACGTCCTGTTCTCGCCAAGGTTGATCTAGACGTTTACTGAAACGCCGACCCTGGTTAAACTCGCTGCTATGCAGGCTTTGTGTAGGATCTTGTGGACGGGAGATCTGGACCAACTTTTCCAGTTCACCACGGTTTGGGTTGCGTTTTTTGCTGTTCTTCGATGGAGGCTTATCAACTTGAGAAAAGGGGTACTGTACTTGTTGATGCTGCTGCGCCATAGGAGGCGGGTAGTGGTACTGAGGCGGTGTTGGCATGGCCATATTGGGTTGCATGTTGGCAGTCTGCATGTTAGGAGTACCTGGCATAGAATGGACGAGAGCCGGGCTCCGAGCGGGTTGGGGAGAGTTAGGGTAGCGAGGCTGGGGCTGGAAGGCCGCGGGCATACCACGACCTTGACCAGGACCATTACGGAACTGGTTGTTAGGAGGAAAGCCCATCTGCGGGTTAAAGTTGTTTCCATGGGGGTTGAAGCCACGGCCACGACCACCTTGAGCCTGGAAATTTCCTCGTCCAGCTCCATCGCCTTGTGCTGAGTGGCCAGACTCGCGTCGGAAGTGGACTCCAGATTGTGCGTTGGAGTTGTTAGGAACAGAACCTGGTCTCATATGACGCTTCAAAAGTCAGTCAGTAATGATTTCAAAAGTGTATATGCAGGTAAGGCACTGGGAGATCCGGACTTACCTCGCCATCACTACCAAGACTGCCGAATGTCATGGTTCCGCCTGCTTGCTGGAGACCAGAAGGAGGTCGTCCACCGCTGGCAGAGGGCTGAGGAATGGGTGAAGGAGAATGAGCAGGCGATGGGACTCGAGCGTTTCCGCCACCGGGAATAGGGATAGGTGCAGCACTGGACGACTGAGGTGTGCTGTTGGCCATTGCGGGAGAGTCGAAACCGAACTGAATGTTTGACTTGGCACCGCCGACAGGGCCACCATTGGCGACAAAGTTGTTGGGGGCGTTGGCAGCCATGGTGACAGAACTATTGCGAGAGTGATCGGAGCCGTTAAGGTTAGCGCTGCTGCGAGTGACAGCAGGGACAGCGGGGGTGACGGCGGGTTTGCCGTTCACAGGAGACGATGAGGCGTCGTTCGCATTCTGCGACGAAGACGAACCTCCAACCACCGCGGGAGGGTGGGAACCAGTTGCGACTATAGGTGCCTGAGTTGACTTCTTAGGCGCACCTGCAGCAGAGGCATACGAAGCCGTCGTCGCGGGAGTAGTGTTCGCCGGGATGGGGTTCTGCTGGTTGGCAGGCGACGTCATAAGGGGAGTTCGTTTTCGTTCGTTCGCGATGCGAGAAAGTGGTTGTGTTTGGATATTTTTTTTTGTGGGCGTCGAGGAAGAAAGCGGAATAGATGGCGCCGGGGGCCGGGACTTGTCGAATTGTTCGAAACTGCAGCGGGGCAACAGGAATCGACAACCAGAGGAGACGCACAAGTGGTTTCCTCTTTTTTTTTTTTTTTTTTTTTTTTTTTTT